CGGAAGTACCAAGGCAGTCTGCAGCTTGACAGTTCGGATGCACATTGGTGCTCACGGGAGTGTGTGTGCTGGAGGGAGGGTCTCTGTTTCTTCTGTACACCGGTATCTCTCGAAAGGGCTCCGTTACAACTTAAACGCTTGTTTGTGGCCTGCCCCTGGTCGTTTGAATCAGGATATCCAGGCTGGCGCCTTAGCAGCCATTTTGCACAAGCTGACAGGTGACTGTTGCAAAAAAATCAGAATCTGAAGCCATGGTTTTAGACCATCGTTCTCGGGATCAAAGGGACAGGCTGGGAAGGATCTTTCCGGCTGTTGTATCACCTGATGCTCAGCCATTTTCTCATTTTTACCTCTTCTAGGTTGCCATGCATTTGAAAAAGGCTGTCAGTAGTGATAACCCGACCTTACAGAATAATATGTGTTCAGCAAACTTAAGTTTGAATGTCTGGTTATTGGTGACTTAGAAATATGTTTTACTCCCCGACAGATATAGGTCAGTCCCTGGGTGAGTGACATAATAAGAGAAAATATAGTCTGTGTTTGAGGGAGTATGTTCAGGTTGAAATTGGGATTGCTAGCTAATTTAACTCACTGAAGAAAGTCCATTTAACGTGGAATGATTTCCGCAGGTTTCACAGTTCTGTTAGGAATGGACTTTTATAGTTTCAGTTCAAATTCACACCTGTAACATAAAAGTGTTGGTTAAGTAATAAATATGTTGCCAGCCCCAAAGAACTGTGACTGTGTGTTTTTCCAGAGATATATTCCTGGTGTAGAGCAATTCACACTATCCTTCAAAACCCCTTTTTTACCTGTAACCTAAGGGTATTGATCATCATCTGATTCCTTTCTCGGGTTGTGACTTCAGCTTGTTGACCTTGAGACTTCAGAAGTACGTCCTTTTCGATTAAATGGAGGTATTTCACGAATACTCGGGAAATCTTATTTTATGAATACTTGGGAAGTCTCTAGGTGATAAAGGTTATTGTCAAAGTTACATTTTAGAATGTGTTTTCTATTTATACTGATTACATTAGAGTTACAACATTTTTAAGGCGATATGAAGGTCTAATTTGAATTGACTTTAAGAACTCCTGTTTCATCTGATTGTATCCTAAAATGTGCACATGAGTATTCCTGAATCAAAAACAGATAGTCATTAGTTATTAGTTGTTTCTTTTCTTTTCTTTTTTTTTTTTTTTTTTTTTTAACTCAGGGTCTTGCTGTGTAGCCCAGGCTAGCTTTGAACTTGAAATCGATCTCCTGCCTCCCATAGTCTGAGGTTGAGATTACAGCCAAGTTATTTCATCTTCTTTTTGTACACCCCCCTGGTAGCTAAACACATATATAATTGATACAAAAGGGTACTGATGCATTGAAGCAAATGCTTCTGTCAGCCAGGTCGTATAATTATAGTTACGTGAACATGGCTTTGAGCTCTGGACTTATCTTAAGCTTCCTGCCAGACATCTGCCCGATCATGCTTGGTGGATGTCTTTCATAAATTTGACTTCATTATTTTTGTTATTGTCTTGAGACTGGGTGTTGCTGTGTTGCCTAAGCTAGCTTTGAATTCATGATCCTTCCCGCTCTGAGTGCTGAGACTCTAGGCATGCACCACCACTCTGGCTCTGGCTACCACTAGTCCCCTGAAACAGATAATGGCCATTTGGTGTGCCCCAATTCTCAAGGGCAGAGGCAACATTCTGAAAATGAGGTCAAGTGCCCTACCCATGCTAGATTGGGAACGGGTATCACAGGTGATGTAGGGAAAGACCCCATGCCCATACCGTAAAGAGACAGCTGTCTCTCCCTGGTGAAAGGAGAAGAGCCTTTTCTCCATGGATCCACTGGACGGTTCCACTCACCCACACAGGAAATGGGGAAAAGATGCCAACTGTGGTCTGCTTCCTCAGTTATGGTTGGCTTGTTGCTGGTGCTGGGGATTCAACCCTTGACCCTTGATGAGTGCTAAGCAAGGGCTCTGCCACTGGCTGCTTCCCCAGCGCAGTCTGCTTCTTGAGGTAACTCACATGATTAACTCAGGAGGCATAAAGGAATGGGAGGTTTGTTTTGTCTTTGTATTTTTGAGATAGGGTGTCTCTATTATATAGCTCTGGCTGTCCTGGGACTCAAAGAGATCCACCTGCCTCTGCCTCTGCCTCTTGAGTGCTGGGATCAAAAGTGTGTACACCACACCCAGCCACAAAAGGGAGTTTTTCAAAGTAGGTTGTAGTCTGATGACTTTGTCACTTGTATCTTCAAGGAATCAAGACCTCATCAGGATATCTTTTTATTTTCGTAGCTTCGATGTAAGAACAATAAAAGGAAATTAACACTTAGATATATATAGCTTGATGTTTTCATACTGCCTGATTAAACTCTTTCAAAGTATATAATTGCTATTTTTACCATTTATGAATAAATTGCCTGAGATTAATTATAATTATTGAGCATAACTGAATTTATTTGCAAACATTTTGCACTTTACTTACTATGTACAGGGTTTTGTACCAGGCAGGCAGGGCAGAGGTAGCACCCTGACTTGAAGGAATCAAACAGGTGATGTTATAAGTGTTCTACTGAGTGCAGGATCCTGTAGGAGTCATAACCAGAGTGCTAATAAACCACAGAAGACTTTCCAGAGGGCCAGTGCAGGTGCAAACCGGCAAAACCAGGGCTGGCTGGGGAACATTGTGAAGGGGATGGAGCAGGGAAAGGGGAAAGTTGTTACAGAACAGAACAGAACAGAGAAGACAGTTGCTGGAGTAGACCTGGGGAGGAAGCTGGAATGAGGATTTGTGATAAGCTCTGCTGTCGCCAAGAAACTTCCAGATAGATGGATCTGAAGGGAGCTAACATGCGCCTAGATGCAGTGTGTCAACCCTCCATAGGGCCCAGGCATGTTCTTGAGGTCTTAGGTGTCTGTGGAACCTCTCAAATCTCTTCTAGCTGGGATATTTTTCTGTAATGCAGTATGGGTCGTGTTATTGGCAATGAAGTATGTTCTGTTTATTCCTTTTTTTAAAATAATCTGGCTTTTGAACCATCAGTTAATTTCATTGTTTGTTTTCCTTTCCAGTCAGGCTACCCTCTGTGGCTATTTGGAAATTTTTTTGTTTTTGCTTTTGTTTTTGTTTTTCAAGACAGGATTTCTCTTGTGTAGCTTTGGAGCCTGTCCTGTAGACCAGGCTGGCCTCGAACTCACAGAGATCCACCTGCCTGGCTCCTGGGTGCTGGCACTAAAGGCATGCACCAGCACCACTACCACCTGGCTTGTTTTGCTTTCTTTTAGGTGGGGGGAGGGGTGTCATGTCTTTGTAACCCAGGCTGGCCTGGAACTCAAGATCCTTCAGACTCTGTTGGTATTACACCTGCCTGCCACCACACCTAATCAGGGTTTGTTTTATGTTTGCAAATATAGCGAGTATTCTGACCCCTGTATATACAAAAGCTTAGTGAGATTTATTGCATTAGGAAGTAATGGAGTAGCAAAAAGCAGGAGACTTCGTTCTCTTCTGAAAACCCCAGCTGGCTAGTTTTCTTCTCTGCTGGAAGGCAGTATTGTCTCTTTAGTGGATGTAGGGCTTGGAGAGATGAGCTCACTTTTCAAAACAGACTTTTCCCCAGTAGAGGTGGATCTCCCTTGAGGGTTTTGCTGCCTCTTAACCCCCAGGAATAGCTATCTGTTGCCCTTGAACTTTTCTTACTGAAGGGGATACGCTGCACACGAAGAGTCCCGGATTGTATATAGGAATGGACAGCAGTTGGTACCAGTGGGAGGTTTGTGTGTCCCATGCTGCATGCATTTGTCTCCTTTATTGAATCTGTGAATCAGAATTACAGGAAATTTAAAATGGTTCATTAAAGAAATGCACAGTAAAGATTAAATGGGTTTGTCACTGCGATGAAATGTCTGTGAACATCCGGTGTGAGAGAGGACTGTAGGGAAGGAGCCTTTGCTCCCTGTGATGGTGGAAATGAGTTATTTTTTCCCTGATCCTTTATTCACCTAATGACTCAGCTCATATTGGCCTTCTCTGAGTGCCACTGGAGGAATGTTATAAAAGCAAGATAGAGGTTTTATAGAGGAAGCCTTGGGAGCATTGGGAAGGAATGTGAAATAAGACAGATCAGAAGCCTCATAGATGTCCATTAAGAAGGCCCCGAAAGAGTTGTTTTCTGTTGTAATGATACTAACAATAATAATCTCAGATTAGAGAGGGGGGGGGCACAGCGGGCAGACTGGCGCACACCTTTAGTCCCAGCACTCAGGAAGCGGAGGCAGGTGGATCTCTTGAGTTCCAGGACAGCCAGGGACAATCAAAAAAATCCAAGAGCTATGCAATTGAACATGAAAGCATAAACTGTAAGAAGCTATTTCTAGCAGCATTTGCTAAAATTACTTTTTTGTCTCAAAAAGGAATAAAGAATAAACTAGGTAAGAATTTTGTCTATAACTGCACTCTTTTCCCAAAAGGCAATAACCATTAATTAGTGTAACAGACTGGAAACTATTCAGAGGTGAAAACTAAAGCCAGGTAGCATGTGGGAGCCAGCAAGTCAGCAGTTGAGAGCCCTAAAAGACCACTCTAAAAATGCTTAGTAGGGGCAGTGGCTCAGTGCTGAGGACCAGAGTTCAGTTCCCAGCTCCTGTGTTGAATGGCTCCAGGAATCCAATACCTTCTGGCTGCCTCCGACACCTGCAAGCAGACACGCGCGCGTGCGCACACACACACACACACACTCACAGATACACATACACACAGAGAGAGACACCTACACATAATCTTTAAAAATAATATTGCTGTTCTTCACAATATGTTAAATAAAAATTGCTATATGGGAGAAAAGGCAAAATGATGGGGTAATAAATGTACACAGTTCTCTTTAGTTGTGAAAGTTTATCTAACATTGTTTTTTTCAAGTTCACAGCAGATACCATGGAAACTAGGCATAGTGGTTCTAGATAATAATATTCTATATGCTTTTAATTACAGAGCCTCAAAAAATTCTTTCAGGAAGACTCTTCAAGAAGTCACAATGTCAACCAACACAGACCTTTCTCTTTCTTCGTATGATGAAGGTCAGGGATCTAAGCTCATTCGGAAAGCTAAGGAGACCCCGTTTGTCCCCATTGGTAAGTGGCTGACATTCTGATGATTAGTCTGCTTTGAGCTCAAAGTAGGGGAAGGATGATAAATTGAGTAGATCCTGAAATACCTTTTTTCTTCTTTTGTTGAAGTGTGGTAAGGTCATCATCACAAAAGCGTACGTGCTCAGATTTGTGTGGCCGGCTCCTAGTTCAGGGACTCATACTGTGTGGGATTCCAGGACCAACCCTGACTCCGAGATTTGTGAGGGCTCAAGACAGAAACACTGTAATCATAGCACTGCAGGGGTAGAGGTGAAAGTTAACGAAAATGTCTGCAGTGAAGTCCAGGGGAAGCCAAGGATAAGTTGGCAGGCTTCTCCTCCTAGAAGACATTGCTTTCTGCGCTGTGCTGTGTGGCGGCTACAAGGGACGGCTACTGAACCCTGCCGCTTACATTGTACTGCGGTCAGTCACAGAGGCATGCAGTGTCCATGCCGGCCTCGCAGCTCATGGAACAGCGATAGAATCAGTGGAAATTCCAAATCAGTGAACTGGAATACTTTCTTCATTTAAAGCGGACACAAATTATATTCAGGGTTAAAATACCAGAAAACTCCCTTTAAGTGGAGCAGGTCTGGGGTCCATGTGAACACGGCTGTTGTTGCCTGGAGACCCTGACACTTGCATAGGGCAGGAAAGGGGCCGTGTACATACTTCAGGAAGAAACTCTGTTGGTCTGCCCAGGGAATACAAGAAAATCAAATGAGAAACAGCAAGGCCAGTTAGAGAAACAATTACTGTCCTAGTTACACAGCTGTTGCTGTGATAAAATCCATCACCAAGAGCATGGACAGGAAGAAAGAAAAGCCATATATCTGTCTTAAGCTTCCAGGTGGCCGTCATCACTGAGGGACGGCAGGGTCAGCAGGGACAGCAGGGCAGGGACCTGACGCAGAAACTCTGAAGGGAGTCAGCTTGCTGGCTCGCTCCCAGGCTCATGTTCAGCCAGCTACTATGTAGTCCAGCACCACCCACAGTGGACTGTGCCCTCCCACTGTCAATCAAAACAGTGTCTCACGGGCATGGCCACAGGTCAGCCTGATCTGGGCAGTACGCGAATTCAGACTCCCTCACTTGACTCTAGAACAGTGATTCTCAACCCCTTCAGGGGTCAAGCGGCCCTTTCACAGTGATCACCCAAGACCATCAGAAAACACATATTACAGTTCATAACAGTAGCAAAGTTACAGTCATGAAGCAGCAATGAAAATAATTTTATGGTTGGGGTCAGCACACATGAGGAACTGAATTAAAGGGTTGCAGCCTCAGGGAGGTTGAGAACCACCGTTATGGAATGTCATATTCATGCTAAAGCCAAGTAGGACAGTTACTTCATTGGCACATCAGAAGGCATCTAGGGGGAAGCCTAGGCATGTCTAAGACCCAGAGAGGTAAAACAGAATTATCTGGAAGGCCACCAGTTGTAGACCTGCAGACTGATAGGTGTCCCACTCAAATTCCCATCCTCAGTTCTCCTGTACATTACTTTCTGGTTTGCGTCTGACAGATGATTTACTCTAAGGAGTACTGGGTTGTTGTTGTTTTCCTTTTCAGTGCTAATACAGTTACTTCCTAATTTCTTTCTTTCTGTTTTAACGTCCAAGCCCTAATCTCTTTACTAGGGTAATCTCTTTAGTTTTCATGTGTCGCCCACTTTATATTGATTGATAGGCCTCAGCTTTAGGTTATGTATGTGTCACCCACTTTATATTGATGAGCAGGTTTCAGTTTTAGGTTATGAGTCTATAGGAATTAGTTTTCTGAAACTCAGTTTTCTTTGTGACCTAACACATGATTGACTTTTATCATAACTTCCTAGACATTTGAGAGGATGTATGGTCTATTTTAAATGAAAATTTCATTTCTTTATTACTGCATATGTGTACATGTGCCAGAGTGAACTTCAGGAGGCTGCCTCTTCCCACCCAGTCACTGCCCCCCTCGAGTTCTCAAATCTGTCTACTTATTCCTTAGCAGGGCACTGTGGCTTAGAACCCAGCACTTGGAATGTAGGGGCAGGAGGATGGGTTCAAGGTCATCTTCTGTTCATAAGAAATTTGAGGCCAGCCTGGGATACATGGGAGCCTTCACAGGGGTTTGGGAGAGAAACCCCCATGCTTGATAGGTGGAATTCAAGCCACACAGTTACATACTCTTCCAAAAGAACCAGAGACCCAAGAAAAAGATCCTTTCTAGATTTGCTGCTGTTTGCTATGAATTCTAGATTTGGGCTTATGAAAAAGAATTGAAAGCTGTGTGTTAGTTAATGATCTGATAAGTATCCTTACAAACTAGCAGAAAGTATGTTGGTTAATGGTGAGATTGTGCCTCTTCCAAGCATCTAACACGATTGTGACTTCGTTTTGTAGGAATGGCAGGGTTTGCAGCAATTGTTGCCTACGGGTTGTACAGACTGAAAAACAGGGGCAACACAAAGATGTCCATTCACTTGATCCACATGCGTGTGGCAGCCCAGGGCTTTGTTGTCGGAGCCATGACTCTGGGTGAGTTCCAACGGGACATCTTCAAACATGTGCTTCATTGATGCTTTTCTTTATTTACCACCCAAACTGAGTCCTTCTTTCCTGGTCTTGAAGCAGCTTGAAAATACCTTTTTCTCATTTTCTTGTGAAAGAATAATTAGTTAGTTAGAGCAGTGATAATTTTACCTACTATGACAGATAAACCCTTAATAGAATTTCATTACCATCTGAGTATAGGTTGGTAGTAACAGTTTTCTGAGAAGAATGTGATTCTATATTGAGATTGGGAAAGTAGAAAATATTTTACTGGCATCATGACTTAGTGACTTTATCTGCTATTATGTAGTGGGTATTTTTAAAATTGACAGGCACATACTGGTTGTTCATTAAAACCTTGTGACACAGTGAGCTGACACAGTGGCCCTACCCCGCTGGGGAAGCTAAAGGCTTTTAGGGTTGGATGTGAGGAGTGTGCGCTTCTGGTGCCCTTGTAGCTGTCCTGTGCACTATTGTGTTTTTTCTGAGTGCTGAAGGAGCCGTTTTAACGTTTCTCTTCTTTCTTTTTAGGTATGGGCTATTCCATGTATAAGGAATTCTGGGCCAAGCCTAAGCCTTAGAAGACGAGCTGCTGCCTTGGTCTGGGAGGTGCTTGCTTTAGTTAGACGTCTCATATTGAGGTTACATGTTTGTGTCTACAATAAATAACATGGGTTTAGACAATAACACAGTATTGTATATTGGCTCACTTTCTTGCCAGCTTGATTTACCCAGTGACCAAATTGTTGGTGACTAGTTCACTAACTCGGTCACTGGGGGCAGTCAGGTTAACACAGAAGAAATCTGTCCCCTGGATGTAGCTGGCAACAGTGTTCTCCTTGCACCCTTATGATGCGAGTTTTAAGGAGGACGGTGGACAGTCCAGACACACAGTGTGCTGCAGGGCTGGCCTTGCTTTGGAAGATGTTGGTGAAGAATTCATTTAGCTTTTTTTGTCTGCCTGTAGGCTGGCTTTAGAACTTAAGGTTTTAAGGTTTATTTATTGGCTTCTGAAAACACTTTCCAAAGAATGCATGAAAAATAATTAACTTATAAGCTCCCCTACAACTGAGGGAGGGCAGGGTGTGTGTGTGTGTGTGTGTGTGTGTGTGTGTGTGTGTGTGTGCAACCAGGAAAGCTGATGAGAGCTGTAGAGTTTATTCGGATCATACTTACACACAGAGTAATTATGGGTTCCAGTTTAGCTCTTTTATAATTGCAAAGTTATATTTTTGCTGCTTTTTAATAGGATAGTTCTTCAACATCATATTGAAATGGAGGTATTTTTGTTTCTTTTTTGTGATGCTGGGTATTAATGCAGGGCCTCATGTAAGCTAAGCAATTGCCATTACCACTGAGCTATAGCCCAGCAGAAGTAGGTACTCTAAATGGTGGTACAAACGTGATAAAGAAAATACACAGCTTACTGTGGACAGTGTGTCTTACTTTCCCTGTAAGAATCATAACTACCAAAGTGCCATAAATGAGAGAATGGTGGGTACGCTGTTTTTACACACAGACTTGGATATGCAGAATGCTTGGTGCACTGTAAAATCCCCAGTTCAACAGGAACTTACATTCCACAGTGACAACATGGCATGTGTGTTGTTATTAAAATAAGTGAACACATTGGATGTCTTGTATTTATTTCAGCATAGAGAAAAAGTAAAAAAATTCCCTGGGCAACACTGATTAGAGAACAGAATGTCTGCTCCTGTGGTGGGGGAGAGGCAGTCAAAGGCCATCTACAGCTAAGAGCAATGGCTGGCATCTGCTGGGCACTCGCTGCGTGCCCCACACTGCTGAGAAATTCTGTTTTCATTATGCATAGATGTGGGCATATATTGGGTGTGTGCAGGCGCCCTCAGAGGCTGGAGTATCCCTGGGGCTGGATCTGAATTTGGGTTCTCTACAAGAGCAATGCTTGCTCTTAACCATTGAGCCATCTCTCCAACCCTCTCCCTTTTATCACTCCTGTGGGGAGGGGGCAGTCGCAGGACAATTTGGGGAGTTAGTTCTCACAGGTTCACAGTCTTGGTAGCAAGCACGTTTACCTGCTGAGCCATGTTGCTGGCTTACACGTGTAATATTGTTAAATTAATGTGCAGACAGGTCTGTGTCACATGAGCCTGGGAGGCAGGCAGTTAACAGGACTGACTTAGCTTTTTATTGTTCTAGTTTAGGATGGTTGGAATTGTGCCTTTAGAAGAAACCAGGACAGGATAATAGCATGATAGGTGTGGACAGATGTAAGGATTTGATGTGGTGGCCTCTGTGAGGTTGGAGTGGCAGCAGTGGCCATATCTAGTAAGATTAGACTGTACCCTGCATGTCCTAATCAGGGATTGTGTGATCTGGACCCAGCCACTACATGATAGGAGAGCACGGCTAGCTTCGGTTCTGTGGTCATGTCTGGCTGCTGGAACAAGTTTCAGAAAGTTCTCTGGTTTGTTTCCGGTTTTGTTTTTGACTTCCTGCTTTAGTGATGTTCTCCATTTTGAGAATTGGCTGTTGAGTAACACCTGGACTCATGGCTCTGCCACTGTGAGCCTGATAGCTGTGTCTTCCTCATCTAAAGTGGGGACCCTGGAGGGCGGGGCCTGCCTAGCGTGCTACACTTTCTTCAGTCAGTACATCACTGCTGTTACGACCACTGAGTATAGGGCTTAACGTCTGGGTCTAAAGATCACACCTAAACATGGCTGCCAGTAGAAGCATCTGGAGCGACTGGCTGGTGCAGAGCTCAAGGCTGAGACTGGACGTCTTTCCCCAGAGACAGCTTTCTTGGCGAGAATCCTCACCCAGTGTTGGGTACTGATGGAGTGTGGAGTGATTGCTTCAGGCCTTTCTTCTCCATTAACTGTCAGGGCACAACGATCTTTTACATCCAAAGCACTTGGTATCAGTTTCTGGCTCAGTTAATGTTTGTTGAATCCATTAGAGTAAGTCTTGGGGTTCTTGCATTTATCAGGTTTCAGCTGGTCCTTGATCCACGTGTGTGGATTCATCCAGCCACACAGATGTGAAATATTTTATTTTTGTGTCAGTACTGAGCATGTGTGGATTTCCTTTTCCTGTGCGGCTCCTAGGAGTGTGGTGTAACAACTATTACATGTTGTCCTCTTGCGTTAGACAGTGTGAGGGACATGGAGAAACTGGAAGGCTGTGGAGAATGTGCACAGCTCATGAGCAAACCCCTCACTGTTGTTTGAGAGACCTGAGCACCTGTCTGAGGTTTGGGGGCTCACTGGGGGTTCCAGAACCCATCTGCCATTACTGGGGATGCCGTATCTGAGCAACAGTGACATCTAGTGGCGAGAGTCCTATGTGACCACATTTACAAGCTCCCTAATGGACTTCAGAAAGTGAGGCCAGCTGCTCCCTGACCACAGTGGTCATGGAAACCATGCCTCCTGTCCTATAGACAGGAACCAAAGCCCAGAGTTCCCGGGACTCGTAGTTAGGCTTCTATCCATATGTAAATCTGCAGCCCGCCCCTCATGACTGCAAGGCCAAAACAAAGCCAAGGGGTCATGAGGTAACAGGTGCCTTGTATGAGTCGTAGAGCTGAGGGAACTATGTCCAGACCCTGTTTGAGAGCCCTTTGGATTGAGGAGGAAACAAAGGCCAGCCTGTAAGATGGAGTGGCACGTGACCAGTGAACCGGGCTGAGCTCAGGAACCAGGACTGCACATGTGCCCGAGTCCGCAGCTCGAGGACTCTGCTTTCCCTTAGCCACCTGCATGGGACAAGAGAGGAAAGTGGCTGTAAGTGGGTCAAGCTGAGGCCACTGGCTGTCTCGTATTCTGGGCTATCTCCAGTGTGACTGAATGACCAAATGTTCATCTTCAGCAGAAGCTGCTGTCTACCCTCCTGGGGTCTACATTTCTGTTAGCAACACCACCGTCTCCCCTCGCTCTGCGTCTTAGCCATGTCTCCTTCCTCTGTTCTTCAGTGGTTTTAATGTCCAGCACCGGAAAGAAAGAAAAAAGCTAAATAAAAACACTAAGCAACAACTACAAAACCTGTGACATGAACTGAGAATAAAACGGAGAAATTTGGGAGGAAAATCACATTGTATGCCCAGTCCATTCTGCTAGTGGCTTGGGGAAGGGCCAGGGTAGATCTCATCCATCTGGGAGGTCATTTGGGGGCCGGGGGCACAGGCACTGGGTTTTGTCAGAACACTGAGTTTTCTGAGGAAGTCAGCATTTGATGACGGAGATCTCCATATACACAAACACAATTTAGACATAAGCTCCATTGGTAGCATTAGACCTGCCTGGAACCAAAATGATGTACCACAAAAACATTTTCCAGGGTCTAGAGGAAGCTGGGCCCAGCAACGCTCAGGTCCACCAGAAAAAGGCTTGAGTCTGAGAAACTGAACGTTTTAACCCTTTGGGGGTTCCTGAGTAAGAAGCTGAATGAAAGTAAGGCTTTAAACCCCGGGCGCAGGTGTCCCAAGGTTGTCTGTCAATGCTCTGGATCTGTGCTCACACCTTTGTGGTGGCTCTATGGACCCTGGTAGGGGCCGTTCCTGGGGAAAGAGCTCTGGGCTGGCAAAGCGAGGGAGGGTGATGGGGGTCTACGACCTGCCCAAGGGTTCCGGCACCTATGCAAGCTTCTGGCTCTGCCCTGTTCACATGGCTCGACTCACACCCGCGAGGCACTCAGCACAGATAGCAGAGGATCTGGACCTCCGTAGCTGAGGCGGAGCTGGGCTGGTGCCTTGGTGTCTAAGCTGCAGTAAAACTCCCATTATGAAGCAGGACGGCTAGGTACGCAGTAGTGTAGACAGTGGGCACTGCACACATTGCAGGGCTCTCCCGTGGCCAGTTTGAGTCCCACAGCAATGGTGATGCTGCCATTTAAGAAAGCTACAGCGAAACAGCTGCTCTTCCCGAGGACAAGGGTCAACTCTAAGCACCTATGTGGCAGCTTACAGCCATCTATAATTCCAGTCCCAAGGGATCCGGTGACCTCTTCTGGCCTCCTCAGGCACCAGACTGTCACATAAAATAATTTAAACAATGAAATGACGTTTGTGACTCGGCTCATGTTGGAGTCACTTTTCTGTTTGATTCAGTTTCTCGTTGAGCAGAGTGAGTTCATGTCTATGTGTAGGAGGAATGTAATTTCAGCCAGGAAGCCTACTTGATGACCTGTTATCTTCAAGAAGATAAATACACATGGGCTGGGGTACTGGCTCAACTGAGAACCTCAGTGAGATCCCTTGAACCCACGTATAAAAAGGCAAGTTTGGCAGTGCGCACAATTGTAGTCCCAGCAGTGCTGGGGAGACAGACAGGCAGACAGCCCAGCCAAATGGTGGCCCTGGGTCCCAGAGGCCCCATGCCTTTCTGTTGGTATGTAAAATACTGTGACAAAAAGTCAGGAGGAAAAGCTGATTTTAGCTCACGGTTCCAGGTTCAGTCGATTACCACAGGGAAGTCACGAGCAGAAAGAAATGAGTGTATTCTTCCCTGCTGTCCAGCTTTACTTCCCCTGACCTTACACAATTCAAAACCCTAACCCAGGTGCCATCCACAGTTAAACAGGACAGTGGCCCACAGGCCGCCCAGATCTGGACACTGAAGTTCTCCCCACATGAGACAGGACTGACAATTGACGGTCTCAAACACCGGATGAAAGGGCTCTGAGGAACGGCCCCGAGGTTGGTGTCTGGCCTCCACATGCACACATTATAATTAGGTTGTTTTGTTTATTTTGTTTTAAGAAGAAATTTGCAATGACGTTGTCTCTCCCAGAAATGACTGCACCCATAAAGTCTCACCAACATGGCTGCCTAAGCATGACCTGAACTAAATGATTTCAACAGACATGCTACCATGGAGAGGAAATGCTCACAAGGCCTCAACCCTGGTCAAAGAGCCACAGGCAAGAAAGGAACGCTGAAGTCAGGAGAGAGAGAGCTCAGAGAAGAGCCCACCAATCGATTATCCCATGTCACGTGGCCAGTCCTGAAAACAAACATACAGTTGGCAGTGTGCACACGGGACAGGCAGTCTGTACGCACACACAGTTAAAAAGGGGCCGTGAATGTGGAAGAAAGCAGGGAACACACGGGATTTTTCACAGGAAGGAAAGGGGAGAGGGAAGTGATGTAATTATAATCCCAAAAAATACCTTGGGAATTAATGTTGTCATGCCCCACTTGCAGAATTTGAAGAATCAATGGGAATGTCAGTTGTTTAAGATGCTCTGTTTTCTTTCTTGTGTTTAATCTGACTGTTTGATGCTTTGGAAATATGTTATACAGTTAATGATTAAAGCATGCTACACACCGAGGCCTGGAGAGATGACTCGGCAGGCAAAGGCACTTGCTGCCAACAACTCCCACAAATTGTCCTTGGACCTCCACACACGCGCATGGCATAGGTGCCCAACAAATTAATAAAACGTAATTTTAAAAGTTAAAACAGTCAAACAGTAGTCCTGGTCAGAGAAACAGGACGTGGGGGCTGGGATGACAAAATGAAGATGGATCCACGTTCTCTTGGCGTCCTGACTGATAGCGCATCACGTTTATAAACTGTGGAAATTTTTCAGGCTAAAACATGAGCAAATGGTGGCAGGTGCACCTCAGCGGGGACAGGGAAGGTTTGTTTGGGTTTTTTGTTTGTTTGTTTGTTTGTTTGTTGTTTTTGTTTGTTTGGTTTTTTTAAATAGAAACTAGAAAAAAATTGTTCCTGGTTTTGTGAGAATGGGTTAATCCTTATTTAAAAAAAAAGTCCTTGGGAGCCTGAGAGGACTCTAACTTAGAGCGCTAGTTGCTCTTGCAGAGGATCTGCATTTGATTTCTAGCACCTGCTGGCAGTTCACAACTGTCTGTGGCTCAGGTTCCTGGGGATCTCTCTGGCCTCTATACACACAAAGCATGCGCATCCCTGTACGGAGCTTTTAAATTTAAGAGACACTGCACACACGTGGTGGTGCAGCCTGTCATCCAATGGCATCGTTGGCTACAGAGCGAGTTCGAGGCCAGCCTGGGACGCAGGAGCCCTTGCCTTTACAAATAAAGAATAAAAAGAAATCTTTAAATAAAATACACTCCGGAAGAGTGAAGGACGCAAGGGCGCGTAGCTCTCTTGCATCCAGCTCGCAGCTGCAGTTTGGTAGGTCTCCCAGGGGCCCGCAGCACCTTCCCCTCAGTCCTGTAGGGGCTCTCCCGGCCCCCGTAGACGCACGGGACCTGATTGGTTTCCCTGGTGACGGTTGCCAGGGCAGCGCGTGGCGGCGTCGGGAAGGGCGGAGGAAGCGCTGGCCGCCCAGAAGACAGACCTGAAGCGGTAAGTGAGGGGCGGCTGAGGAGGACGGGACCTGGCGGGGACCGAACCGAGGGCCGAGTGGGGGCCGGATCGGGGGCCGAGCGCGGGGACCGACCGGACCGGGGCCGGGCTGAGATCCGAACCCCGTGGCCGCGGTGCTCCAGCCCTGTCCCTGGGCCTGAGGTCCGGGCTGCGCAGCCCCTTCCCCGGGGGACTCGCGCTCCCGTTTTCCGCGTGCGAAGGGCTAGTGAGGCACAGGGCAGACCCCTCGCCCCGTGTGGGCAAGACTCGAACGCAGGTCCTCGCAGCTGCCACTCAGCATGTATCCTGGGGCTCACCCCGCTCCATCCCGGGCACAGATGCTGCTGCCCTCCCTTGACCCCCATTCCCCACCCCACCCCACCCCCCGCCTCAGGCTGTTTGGGAGATTAAAAACCATGGGGTCGGTCGGGCTGAATACAAGGTAGGAAGTGACCGGCTGGTGGGAAGCGCAGCTCAGGGTCTGTCCTCATGATCTGCAGTTTCTGGAACCCTGCTCTGGCACTGAACCAAACCTTCTTCCTTTGGTCTTTTGAGTAGGGCTTCCCTCTGTTGCCCCAGCTCGCCTAAAACTTACTTAAAAACCCACCCCTAAATGACAACCATATGTTTGAAGCCCATCTCACCACCCTTCAGTCCGAAATAAACGGAGGCTTATATTAATTATGAACTGTTTGGCGGATGGCTCAGGCCTCCTACTTGGCTAGCTCTCTCTTCATTGTCATCTCATTTCTAGTCTCCACGTGGTCTTCCTTGGCTTCCCGGTGATGCCCAGGCTTTTGCTTCCTCTGCAGCTCCATGGCTTCCCTCTGGCGACTCAACCTGTCGCCTCCTCCTCTTCCCTGAATTCTCCTACTCTCGTTCTAGCCCCTCTGTATGTCCTGCCTCGCTATATCCTGCCTGTCCATTGGCCGAGACAGCTTTATTCATCAACCAATAAGAGAAACATATAATCATAACATACGGAAGGACATCCACCGTCAAAGGAAAACAAAACAAAGATTGTGTGGAATTATGGTTATCTGTGGTCATCTAAGCATTTGCTACAATTACTTGTGGTTACCTTGGTGGTTACAAAGTAAAAGTACCCATAAAAGGCCAAATTCTTTCACTTTTTCTGGAAATATTAATTAAGCGCCTGCGGTGTCCCTGACGCATGGCCACGAAAGGTGGATGAAACAGTGCACCCCTCTAGCATGGTGGCATATGCCTGTAAACGCTCACGCTTGAGAGGTTAACTAATGCAGGCAGATTCCATGAGTTTGAGGCAAGTCTGGTCTAGGCAGCCCTAGGCTAGACATGGCGGGACAACCAAAAAGAAGAAACAAGTGTTTGTCTTCTGGTTTAGCTTACTTGCTATAGGGTAAAGTTCGTTACACAGCAGGTGGAAAGGGCAAGCGACCTGGGCGGGGAGATGGGGTGTGGAGAGCAGGGACAGGGGCACACGTTCATGCTCATCCATCCAGGGACAACTTGACCCAATTTAGAGCCATCTAGGAGATACCTGTGAGGTATTTCCAGAACGGCTTAGCTGAGAAGGGGAGCCCCACCATCCCCTGGCGTCCCAGGCTGAATGAAAGAGAGTGGACTCCCTGTGACCGCCCACCTCCAGGGGCCATCCTCCCCTGCAGTGCTGGACTGCATCCTCTAAGACTGAGCCTAAACAAGCCCTTGCCTCCTCAAGCTGCTCTTGTCACATATTTGGCCACAGCAACGAGAAAGGGCAACGAACACATGGTCGGGGGAGTTTTGTTCTGGGACTAACCGAGAACTATTCAGACATCCAAATGGCAGCTGGAACTATAGGCCCAGCGTGGTTTCTGGACTTTAAAATACTGCACAGCAGCGAAAAGGAATTCCCTGACTCGTGAGGCAGCAGACGCAAACTTCTGACAGGTGGAGCCAGGAAAAAGACCCAGTCACAGAAACCTAGCCACTGCGTGGCTCCAGTCATGTGAAATTCTGCCGAGGGCAGACAGAGTCCACAGAGGTAGCATGGGGCGGGGGCGGGGGGGGGGGCTGGCAGGAGTTGCGGGAGCAGGGGACACGCAGGAGCTCTTGCTGAGGTGGAGATGCCTTTCGTGACAGTGGCGCCCTCGCATCTGTCCAAAAGTGGAGTAGCGGCTACGGTGTGGGGGATTGGCGTGTGGGCCAGGGCGGCTGCGGTGAAAGAAGGGTAACTGCAGATGCCCCGGGCCCCCTGAGGTGTTTAACACGCCCACATGCAGGCCTGCAGGGCTGACTCTGAGGGAGGCAGGGAAGGCGGATGTTTCCAGAGAGATGCGTGGTCCCAGGAGACAGGAAGTGTCTCCTTGATTCTGACTGGCATTGGGAGGAGGCTGAGACAAACAACATCTTATGACAAACTCCTATTTTGAGACTGGTAGTGAAATTTCAGAGAGGGGACAGGAAACAAAGGTGGCTTTGTTGGTATTTTGTCCTAAGGTAGATAAGGTCTTGTGCCAGCATAAGCCCTTCCCTTGTCCACGGGAAGGAAGAGCAGACATGGGCCAAGGGAGCACGTCAGACAGACTTGACCCCAGGGGACTCTCCTTGCTTTATCAGGTCAAAGCGCAGCCCTTCAGGGCCTGTCTTCTGGGCCCCAGCAGTGGGTCAGTCACCTCAGAAGCACAGGTAGAACGATGTGCTGGCCGTCCTATTCATGACGTGTGTGCTTTAATGTGTGTAAATTATACCTCAAATAAATCATTTGTGTATTTGTTTACTTTTGGGTTTTTGATGCACACAGCCTCCTGTAGCCCCAGGCTGGCCTTGAACTCCCGATTTCTCCTGCTGGGATGCAAAGTCTGGGATTGTAGATATGTTCCATCACCCAGATCTGAATGTCTTCCTGGACTCGCTAATGGCTCAGTAGAGAACCTGGGTCTCAGATGCGCCGGATTGTGTCACATGTCACGGCTTCTCTGTCCTCAGGGCAGGATGGCTGCAGAAGAAAGCTCAGCAGACACTCTGAGACTCCAGTTCAAGGCCATGCAGGAGCTTCAGCACAGAAGGTTACAAAAACAGATGGAGAAAAAGAAGGAGAAAGAACTGAGCGGTAAAGGCAAAGCTGGTCAGGAGGGGCTTGCAGAGATCCCAGACAACCTCAGTCTCCTGGACACCGAAGAACAGAACCTGAAAAACATCTTTGAGAAGAGGTAAGGACCCCCTCCCTCAATAGCATGCAGGCAGGTAGAGAGGGAGGGTATGGTGGGGAGGGAGGGTATGGTGGAGAGGGAGGGGATGGTGGGGAGGGAGGGGATGGTGGGGAGGGAGGGGATGGTGGGGAGGGAGGGGATGGTGGGGAGGGAGGGGCGGTGGGGAGGGAGGGGATAGTGGAGGGGGAGGGGATGGTGGGGAGGGAGGGGCGGTGGAGAGGGAGGGGCGGTGGGGAGGGAGGGGCGGTGGGGAGGGAGGGGATTGTGGGGAGGGAGGGGCGGTGGAGAGGGAGGGGCGGTGGGGAGGGAGGGGATTGTGGGGAGGGAGGGGGTTGTGGGGAGGGAGGGGCGGTAGGGAGGGAGGGGATTGTGGGGAGGGAGGGGGTTGTGGGGAGGGAGGGGCGGTAGGGAGGGAGGGGTGGAGAGGGCGGAAGGAAGCAGTTGCAGATAACTGTTTCAACTGTGCAAGTGTTTGAAGGCTCGAAGTGGGTTTGGCACAGATGGCGGAGGCCTCTTGTAGCCGCTGGATCTGTATTTAATGCCAGATGGAGGGACTGCAAACTCCTCAAGGCGTGGTCTGTTTGTCTGGATTTCCTCCCACAGTCTCTGTGCTGAGGCTGTGTTTCTAGGGGCTGGGATGGGATTGATACTTAGATCGTCCTAGTTCTGCCTCGTTTTCCCCCTCTGCCGGCCGGCCCTCCCACACACACCAGGGAGGCCGCACGTGAGCGTCACTGTTGTGACCAGATTCCTTGCTTTTCTTTAAATCATTGTTGCACACGGATGTAGGCATGCTGATGTGGCTCCTCCTGCTAGCCAAAGACCACAGCCGCTGATGAGCTGTTGTCTCTGCTCCTAGCATTGCTCAGAATCTGTTTTTGCTGGCTTCAGACCATACACACACAAACACACCCATACACATGGACACACACACACTCACAAACACACAATGAGGGTTTTTATATAACCCGCGTGAAGGAACGAGCAGCAGGGTCCAAGCCTTTTCGCACGGTGCTTCCACATTCAATCACCTCTTATTTTGTGCGGACTCCTTAGTGCCCTCTGGTGCCCAATCGTGGTACCACAAGCCTGAACAGGAAGTGGGATCCTGGGCACTGGTTAGTGTCTATGAGGAGCAAGCAGTCCTTCCACCTTTCCCTTGCAGGGTGCTGGAAGACGAAATCCAGCAGCTTCGTAGCGAACTCAGAGAGACAGTGGATGAGAACGGGCGGCTGTATAAGCTGTTGAAGGAGAGGGACTTTGAGATCAAACATCTCAAGAAGAAAATAGAAGAGGACCGGTTTGCCTTCACAGGTAACTCCACCACAGCTGTGAAGTCTTGTAGGCTGAGGAGAGCAGTGTGATTGTTACATGGTCACGGTGATCTATGGAGTTGCTGGCAGGGTCTGTTTCTCCTCGGCGCTTGGTTCGGACATTACCAGCAACTGCTGTGTGTTACGAGTAGTTTTCCCGCCTGCCTGGTCCCAGAGCCGCATCAGCCCCAAATAACACACAGAGACACTGTATTAGATATAATTCTGTTGGCCTATTACTAGCATTTCTTATTGGCCAGCTCTGTCTTAAAATATTAACCCATTTCTATTCATCTAAGTGTTTCCACGTGGTCTTGTCTTACCGAAGAGAGGGTCTGGACCGACCGACCTTCTCTCTCAAGTCTCTACATCTTGAATCTCCTCTACTACATCTCCCAGAATCCTCCTCATCTCCTAGTCCCGCCTATCTTGCCTTCCTATTGGCCAACAGTGCTTTATTAATTAACCAATAAGATAAGCACATTTACAGAATGGCACCTCCCATCAGCTGTGCACTACACACAGTCTGGGAGCCAAACACCTTCAGCAGCTGCTATTGCTGCCCCCCCCCCCCGGCTCTGTGGGTCTGGGCTACACTTTGATCTTTGATTCTGTTGGTAGAGTTTTTGCTGCCAGAGGTGTGAGGGACTCTGGTCCTGCAGGACTTGGGGAAACCTTGACCGTGTGGGTGTGGGGCCAGTCACAGGCTCTGCAGTGATGCCTCTGCCTCAGCGTGTGAATTGTTGAGGATGGTGAGGACGGTAGAATACAGCGCACACTCCCCACTTCCCGGGTTGGTACATGGCAAAGGTCCCAGCAGGAGGACCTCAGCATCCTAAAGGCCATGGGTAGTTGGATGTACCTTCTCCCTCGCTTTTCCTGTTCAGAACAGAAAATACAGGTTTGTGAGGATGGATGCCCAACTTTGCTTCCTGCTGCTCAGGGGCTGGAGGGGGTGCAGGAACTGTGGTTAAGCCAGCGGGTGCCGGGCAGAGCAGGAGATCCATCTCCACCAACGAGGCCTGGGGGGCCCCTCCTCCCCACGCTGCCCTGTTCCATCTGTGCCGTCCACCAGTGCAGATGCGGCAGCCTCGTCTGCCTCTTCCTGAGATGGCTCAACTCCACTCTCCATGCTGAAACCACCGTTCAGCCCCCTGGGATGCAGAGAGAAATCTGGCTGCTCCCTGTTTGTCCCCCCCTCCACCTCCTTCCTTCTTTTTCCCAGCCCCCTCCCCTCAGCTCCTTTCCCCTCTCCTTTTCTTGCCTTCACATCTCTGCATCGCTCGGGCTGTCCCGGGACTCAGGGCACCAGACACAGATCCGTTTCTGGTTTACCTTAGAATTAACACCAAGCACAGCGTAAGCTGCAGTTGGAATTGCTTTCTCCACCTGCTGAAGGCTGTAGAAACGTTAGCACCACCTAGGTCCCCTTGTGCCCTGCTTCCATATTGCAGATGGGTGGGTTTTCCTTTGTCCAGACAAGATCTCACGTGGCACAGGCTGCACTCTATTTCTCTGTGTAGCTGAAGCAGGTCTTGAATTCTTGATCCTTTGGTCTGCACCTCCTAAGTGCACAGGTTGCAGACACGAACCACCACGCAGCCTTTGTGTGTGTGTGTGTGTGTGTGTGTGTGTGTGTGTGTGTGTGGAAGAGCTCACGGTCAGTGCCAAGGCTTCTGCTTGTATCATCTACGCATGTTTTAAAGACTGTCTTCACTCATTGCCATGCTTATCCCCAGGGTTACAGCTCCAGGAACAAGGCTGTGCTGGAGGACGGGACTGGGGGAGGCAGGGAAAGAATTTGCGCCATCCCCCATGGCTCGCTCCCTGCTCCTTTGGCTTCCCTGGCCAGTCTTCTGGTGCTTAATAGCGGGTCTTGTGGTTGCATCTGCGTCTCACGGGGAAATTCGCCCCCAGGAAGAGCAAGCATCCCCGGCCACTCCTAGTTCTTCTTTGGGTGGTTGTCAGTTGTTTCCCTTAGAGCCCTGCTCCACACGGCCTTTTGGGGGCTGTGTCCCATGAGAAACAGGGGTGTGCCGGCTACATCTTATCCCAGTCACAGCTGAAGTGTGGCTTCTCTACCTGCTGGAGGCCATGACTTCCTGGAGGCCCTGCTTGGCTCTGCACAGCCATGTAGATTAGAGGTGCAGGTTGTATTTTTTAATGGTCGTTGCCATTTCTGTCATTTCAGGGGCGACTGGGATGACTGGGGATCTAGTTGCCACCAAAATCGTTGAACTGTCCAAAAAGAACCGGGGGCTGATGGCAGAGTCAGAGAGCGCAAAGGCCAGGGTGAAGCAGCTGACAAATCGCATCCAGGAGCTGGAGCACGAAGTAGGGGCCTGGGCTGTGTTTCCTGGGAAGGGAGCTCTGGAGAGAGGAGTGTGACAGGCAGCCGGGGACAGTGGCTGTTGAGGAGAACCCCAGCACGATGTGGCAAAGGGAGATGGACACCGAGCCTCCATCTAAAGCTGCTAGCGGGTCCCAAACTCTGTATCCCAGTCCCCACCCACCAGGGGGCCACAGTGGCGGCTTAGAAGGGAGCCTGGCCTGTGGGATGCGCGCAGTAAACACATTTGAAGCTGTTGCAGCCAGGAGTCTTGACCCTGCTGTGTCCTGTCCCTCCCTCCCTGCCAGCTAAGCACAAACCCTGCTGCTCCAGCCCAGTGGTTCTGACTCCCTGGGGGTGAGGTGGGTTCCTTGGGCTGGAGGGAGCCATCTTACGTACATAAAGTCTAGCCCCAGGCCCTGCACGGCCCATCCTGGCCCTCATACTTAGCTCCGAGCACGAGTTTCTTCATTCTGGGATGCCCTCCTAGAGATTAGGCTCAGGTTCTGTGTCACACCCGGGAGAGAAGAGAGTAGGCATGGATGCTTTCACTAGTGGGGGAGGGAGCCGTGTGGGCGTGTGGCATAGTAAAGGAAAGGCGAGCCAGCCCCCTGGCAGGAGCTGAACAGGACGGTGTCGGGGATGAGAGAGGGAGTCAGGCCCCAAATCAGTATGGCCACCACGTGTGAAAAGTCACTAAAGGGTCAGTTGCCTATCTGCCTAGAGCAGGCTCCGCCACACGACTGTGACCGCATGTTAGGCACCCTTTGTCTCCCGTGAGGTCCGAGCCTAAGCTTCCCTTATTCTCTGTCTCCTCGGCTCGGTGAATGCCATAGGGTTTCTATTCCTGTGACGAGACACCATGACCATGGCAACCGTTATAAAGGAAAACATCAAATCGGGGCTGGCGTACAGTTTCAGAGGTTTAGTCCATCAATTGTCATGTTGGGAAGCGAGGCAGCGTGCGTGCAGGCAGACGTGGTTCCGGAGGTAGCTGAGAGTCCTACGTCTGGATCCACAGTCAGCAGGAAAGGAGGGTGGCACCAGGCCTGGCCTGAGCTGCCGAAACCTCAAAGCCCACCCCCAGTGTCACACAAGCACAAGGCCACGCCCCCCAATAGTGAGGCTCCCCGTTCGCCTATGGAGACCATTTTCATCCAAACCACCGCAGAGAGCCTGGCTGCGCTCTGGTTATTTACTAGTGGGCAACTAGGGAGCGTGTCTGACCACCAGTCAAGCCTCTCCTGTCACGGTTAGCTTGGAAAGGAGAATTCCTCCCATCCGTGGTCAACAAGTGAGCCGAGGGTTCAGACACGACGGTGGGGGCCACACCCAGCAGCAGCAGGTACTTCAGCTGGCTGTGCAGCTGCTGAGCAGAACCCAATATTAATACCAGGTTTGCTCTCTCAGCTGCAGATGGCGCCAGCCAGGCCGCCAGCCAAGGCGACCGGTGACACAGGGGCCAAGCCACTGAAGACCCAGGCGGAAGACAAAACCTTGGTAGGAGTGCTCTGTGCTGAGCCTGTGAGGTCGCTGTCCCCGGGCCTCCCCTCCCCAGTGGTTCTCAGGTACCAGGCCATGGTCCCCATCCCGTTGCTCAGCCAACGACTCGGCTCTCCTCTCTGCCTCCTCAGAGCCCTGTCCATGCCCTGTGCCTGTGGCCAGGGTGCCTGGCAGACGCAAGGGAAGGCCCAGCCCTGAACCAGTTTCCATGGGGTTGGGGGGAAGCAGGTATAGCCAGGTAGCCAGGGCCTTCAAGGCTGAGGGAGGGGAGGGAGACAGTCTACCTAGCTGCCTGCTCCCACGTGGACATCTCTGTAGGCTCCCCACAGGGAGGCAACACCCACAAAGCCTTACCCAGGTGGCAGATTTTCTCCCAGCGGCTCAGAGAAGTTATGTTCTTTTTTTTCCCTTCAGTTTGTATGCATGTGTCTGTGTTATGTGTGTGGGAATGCATGGGGGTGTACACATGTGCATTCATCCGCGTGGAGGCCAGGGGTCATCCTCAGGAACACCAGCCGCGACTTGACCCTGCGATCTCCGCTTCCCCAGCATCGGGGTTTCCAGCTTTTTACGTGGGCTCTAGGGACTGACTCCAGGTCCTCATACTTGCCCTTTCTAGTTGAGCCACCCCCGCCCACCCCGCCCATCAAGCCCCATTCTTTACAAGGCACTGCAGTGTTGGCAGCCTCTGTGTGGTACTGCAGGTTTATAGATTCCTTCCCCAGACACGTATTTTAGCTAATGAACAGGCCGCCACAAAATGTAGGCCATCCGCGTGCCAGGTGGTGGCACACGCCTTCAATGTCAGCACTGGGAAGGCAGGGGCAGGCAGATCTCTGTGAGTTCAAGGCCAGCCCTGGCTATGTGGAGAAACCCCGTCTCAAAAAACCAAAAAGGGGGAAAAAAAAAAAAAGAAAAAAAGAAAGGAAAAAGGAAAGAAGGAAGGGGGGGGGGAGAAAGAGAAAGAAGTAGGAGAAAGAAGTAGGCCATGTGAATATTGTTCCATGAAAAGGTAGTCGGGCCATATATGGTTTGCCAGGGATATAGAGCCCAACCCAGACTAACCTGCATCAGAGCCTACAGAATGTCCCAGCAGCCACGCCAGGGGTTTCTCAGGAAGCCGGGCCAGCGGTGACGGGGGCCAAACCCCAGGACTCCAGCTCAGTGCTCCTTCTGCCTCCTGTCCCCTCCTGTCCCCTCCTGTCCCCTCCCGTCCCCTCCCATCCCCTCCTGTCCCCTCAGGCTCAGGCCACCACTTGACGATCTTGAGAGAATTCAGTTCTGGGTGTGCAGCAGTGGCCCCCTGGAGTGTTGGGATGATGAATGTGTAAACCAGTGTCGCTGCTGGGGAGGCAGCCACAGTGCTCGCGGTTGAGGCAGACAGTGTTCTTCCAGAGTCATCCAGCCAAGGAACACTGCCAACCTGTTGTAACTTTACCCAGCCCACTGAGGTCGCTTGAGTTTCCCTGGACCATGTTGTCGGGTCTTTTGTTAGCCTTATAGGATAATCCGCCTTGTCCCACAGGAATTCAAACCTGGCCTCTGTCCACAGAAGGGTCTAAGAAGAGATGGAGCAGCCGTGTAGTGAGGGTGTGGCAGGCCTTCAGAAACACTCCAGGCCTGAGCTGGCAACAGGGGCTTACGCTCTGTCTGCGGGCTAGCGGATGGAGAAGGTGCCCTTGCCCTGGGGTCTGGTGAAGTGGGTGGTGAAGGCCTGGTTGGAGCAGTGCCTTCGAGGCTGGGAGCCAGAACATTCTACACAGCTGGCTTGCCTGGGTGGCGGCTGGATATCATTTGGTTTGAACCCAGAGCCCACAACAGGAAAGGGACATGAACCAACATAAAAAGGTTAGGGGCACCCAGGGAGGGGCTGGTGAGTGGCCATGGGAGCAGGGGTCGTGGATTCGGTAACCAGCCTAAGGAGCCCGGGTCTCTGATAGAAGAGTGGGCGGGCCACAGACCTCTTCTTGCCCAGGCCAGGTCTTTTCCCTGCCATCTTCAGCTCAAAGACAGAACAAAGTCATGTCTGGTCATTGGACCCCAAGGGGCAGCAACTCACTGCACACCACAGCCTCGGCCTCCTCCAAAGCACATTCCAGAATGCATCTGCAGCCCTTCCACTCTGTAAGGTGTTTCAGAAGGTTGTGCTTTGGGCAATGCCGGGATCCAGGCACGGCAGCGGTTCCTTCAAAACAAACAGCCTGCGATGGGGACCAGGAGGGAGACTGAGCCCAGCCCCCTGGCCTCTCCAGAGTGCCATCTGGACTTAGTCCCCTCACCAGCAGCCCACCCAAGCCAAGGGTCAACAATTAAGCCCCTGTGTGTGGTGAGGAGCTGAGGCTGGAGTGGGCATCACAGCTGACCCTAGATCCAGATGTGTCCTGTGTGTTGTGCGACCCTAGACCCAGATGTGTCCTGTGTGTTCTGCTCATGCTCTGAACAGCCTTCCGAGATGCTGCCAGATCCCAGAGGTACAGGGCACTCATGCACTTCCACAGCGCCCCAAACAGGGCACTGAGCACCGGGAAAGGCTGCTGCTTCCCAGCCCAGGGCACATTTGAAGGTTTGTGTTACCAGGGAGAAGTCAGGCGCCTAGCAGCAGAAAAGAGGAGCATGGCAGACAGCCACAAGGGCAGAAAACGTGGCAGACAGCCACAAGGGCAGAAAACGTGTACTTTTTCAAGGATCGGTTTGCATTTTGTGGCATTCTCTACTCTGCAAATACTGTCCACATTGATTTTTTCACTTTTACCCTGGCAGTGGTGTTAAATGCAGTCAGGACTGCGGAACCCCAGGGTCGCCAGGCCTGGTTTCTTTGACCACTGCCTTCCGGAGGGCTGTCCCAAGTCCCATGGCTGTCTGTAGACTTGGTCTGTTGGGCCTTTCCTTCATGCTTCCCAGGGGTCCCAGCATGGCCTGACGGGTACTGAGCTTGCTAACCAACCCCACTGTTGCCATGACAGTCTGTAGCAGCGCTGGCAGCAGAAGCCCAGATGGGGAGATGTGGGCAGGACAGCAGAAGGACCGGGGTTCTAATACCCGTGTACTATGCCAACCCTGTGTGTGTCAGTGTGTCTCTGCTCCTCTCCAGACTTGACTTTCGTCACCAGTGGGAGGAGTTTGAGTGGCATGATCACGGAGGCCCCAGGAATATCTGCTAAGGCTGAGACAGTATATATATATATATATATATATATATATATATATATGTATATATATATATATGTTTATATATATATGCTTATCTATACATATATCTATACATGTAGATAGATAGAGATAGACACATAAAATTTCATTTATTTTTATGTATGAGTATTGGTGTTCTTCCTGCATGTATATCTGTGTGGAAGTGTAGGATCCCCTGGAACTGGAGTTACAGACAGCTGGGAGCTGCCATATGGGTGCTGGGAATCGAACCCAGGTCCTTTGGAAGAGCAGTCAGTGTCCTTAACCTTTGAGCCTTCTCTCCAGCCCCAATAGACAGTATATTAATCATTTATTTCCAACATTTTCCTCAAACACCATATCATCATCAAGACAGGGCCTCACTGTGTAGCCCTGGCTGCCCTAGAACTCGCTCTGTAGACCAGGCTGGTCTTGAACTCACAGAGATCTGTGTACCTCTGCCTCCCAAGTGCTGGGATCAAAGGCGTGCACCTAGTTCAGACATTATTTTTTCAACAGAAGAAATGAAAGCAGGCATTCCCGAGTTCCAGCCCATCTTTCAGGGTTGTCTTAAGTCATATTTCCATTAAAGCAGACACACAGCACCCACTCTGCTGGCAGAGCCGTGGTCTGTGCTGAAAATTCCAAGTGCAGAGGTCCTGACCTGGGGTCAGACTGTGTCTGCTGGGTTGGTGTGGCTTCCTGTATAGATGGAAGGAGGGTGCTCTTAGCACAAGCCTGAGTCTGGGCACAGCTCAGAGTGGCATATCCCAGGGGTACCTGGGAGGCGTGGAACCTGCTGCCTCTTCTAGATGCTCCAGCCTTGGCAGAGTGTGGCCCTGTGGTGTGTGTGTGTGTGTGTGTGTGTGTGTGTGTGCGCGCGAGAGCGTGCGCGCTCACGCACGCAAAACACATGGAGCAAAGAGCTCAGCCCTGAAGTTGGACTGCCAGGATTCAGGGCAGGCCCCTGATGACTCACCCCCCCTCCCCCGCTCCTGCTTTGCGTCTCAAGGGGCTGGGGATTTGTGAGGACCCCAGCCCTTGCCCCTTGCCTGGAACACACCTAAACCAGTAATAGCAGTCCTGGTTGTCCTTAGCATTTAGGTCACCAGTGACTTCTTTCTCTCTGTCCTTCCCAACCAGGTGGAGCCCCCAGAGGTGAAAGCCCTGCAGGACAAGCTTGCAGCCACCAACCTGAAAATGAGTAATCTGCGCAACCAGATCCAGTCTGCACAGCAGGAGCTCCGCGTGGCCCAGAAGGTCTCCACAGTCAGGCAGGGTGTGGGCTTATGTGGCCGGGGCTGGTCCCAGGAAAATCTCAACGGCCCACTTGCTTCTCTTCTGAAGCAGGGTGTTCACTCCTGCTTATGCTGGGTCAGGGGACAGCGTGGCTGGCTACCTGGGCTCTGCCCTCGAGGGAGGGGTCTGGGAGCCTTCCCCGCGCCTCTCCCCTTCCCCAACCCCACCTGCCCTGTACTCTGGTAGACTCTAGGTTTCCACTCAGTATGCTGCCTTGCCTGTGACTCAAAAGGTTGCCCTCTATGACCTGCAGGATAGAAAATGAACAGGGAATTTGTGCCCTAAAAACTCCTTTCAAAGGAAGACGCTCAGGTGTAGCTTGTGGGTCCCAAGGGCCAGCTGGTTTGGTCTGTCAGTTTTGACATAGTGCATTCCCTGGCATGTGTCCTCCTTGCTGGAACCACTCAGACTAGCCAAGAGTTCCAAAACAGTGTTCTGTTGTGGGAACAAGGGCCAGGGCCTCAGCCTGCTGGGTGGAGATCAGCTTGGTGGCATACGGAGGGTATGGGGCCGACCTCAAAGCCTTGAGGTAGGCCTAGCTTTGTACAACTTTGGTGGCTGCAGAGTCAGGCCTTCCTGGGCCCAGGCAGCCTCATTAGACTCCTCTGTGCTTCCAAGAACACTTGGCAGCAACAGTCACAAAGGCCAGGCCCTGGGGCGGTGTACTTCCTCAGCCAACCAGAATCCTGTGGTAACAGGCCAGTGGGGTAAGGAAGCAGGCATTGACCGGCTCTGTGGGACAGGACAGTCACAGAGGAGGGCTTGCCACCTGCCCAGGCTGAGCTGACCTGGGCCTTTGATAGCAGAGCTTTGAGGTGTGGTGAAGACCATGCAGATGAAGGACCCCACGCCAGCCAGCTCTGAGTCCCACACAGCAAGCGACAAGAGGGGCCTGGGCGGCCTGTCTGCTGCCCACAAGGACACCCTGCTTCTTTTCAGGTTCTGGCCAATGAAGTTGGGGAGGATGTCAACATCCAGCAGCTCCTGTCCTCCCCAGGGACCTGGAGGGGGCGGGCTCAACAAATCCTAGTTCTACAGAGTAAGGTGAGTGAGTCACCCACGTCACTGGCCCTGAAGGGAAGGCCTGAAGTGCCCCCCCAAAACACTGCCCTGGCCCCCCCTTAGACTCTGGAGCAAACGCACCACTGTGGTGATATGTTTTTTATGATTTATTAAAACTTTCCTGAGGATTTAGAAAAGCAAAGTCAGCCTGAAGCTGTAGAGATCTGGCAGTGGTGACGCATGCCTTTTATCCCAGCAGCCAGAAGCTTTCATCGTAGGAGTCAGGGTTAAGAGGTAGATGGATCTCCCTGAGTTCAAGGCCACCCAGAGATACACGAGATTGAATCAGTCTAGAAGTAACAGGTCACATGCCTTTAATCCCAGCACTAGAGGGGCATAAAAGATAGAAGCAGGGACTTCAGTATTCAGTAGGAGGCATTCATTCCCCAGCCACGCTGAGGAGAGGTTACGGTCTGAGGCTTGGCGAGAGCCTGTGGAGACAGGACCAGCCCATTCAGCCTGAGGGAGAGGTAGAAGCTAGTGCCCAGCTGCTTTGCTTCTCTGATGCTCAGCTTGAAGTCTGAACCCCGGTACCAGTCTCTGAGCCTGTTATCTTTTTGTGTTTTGTGGGTCCCACAGCATGCCCTTGCAGAGCGGAGGGCTTACGTTCTCCTCCGGCCTGGTTTTCGTTTGTTATTGCACGCACATGCTCTTACATCATGCTCTTCACATGTCTGGCCCTGGCATTAACCAGCAGCCTTGAGTGTGAGGCATGTTTTCCCGGGCTCACACGAGTCTGCGTGACTGCTGTAATGGTAGGGGTTTGTTTTTGTTTTCCAGTTTCATCCCAGAGGCTGGGGTCCTTCTGAAAGTTTTTTGGTAACTTTCAATCTTCCCAAATAAAACAGCCTGGACTTCCTTTTCCTTTTCAAAGTATGTTGGCACACACCAAGGGCAGTTAAGAGCAGCAGCTTCAAAGCTGAGTGGCTCAAGTTCAGAGGCCAGCACCCTCTCTGCCTCAGTTTCCACTATAATGGGAATAACAGCAGCACCTGTTTCCCCAAGCCTTGGCTATTGGCAGAAATGTCTGAGGCAGCAAGCACATTGGGGATGCAGGCCCTCAGCACGGCACCGTCCTGGAGGGGGCGCTGGACCGTGGCTGGCCAGGGTCCACTGCCCCACCCACCACCACCCTCATTTTGCCTGTAGACTGAGCAGCTTGTGGGAGACGTGTGATCCCGTCAATTCCTCGAGCATGCCGCCTGCATTCCCAGACATCAGGGGAACCCGCCCTCCTGGGTGGCTTTTTCCTTGGGATCTTTTGTGAAATCCTGTAAGCCAGCACGAAGGGGATCAGCCCCCAAAACTTTGGGGCCCTAGAAGTGTGAGCGTAAGTTCCCAGCACATCCGCCTGACAGAGCCACCATCAATGTCCTTAAGCTGGGTGTTGAGTGTTGTTTTCACTGTTGGATGTATTTCTAATGTCCTTAGCCACTGCCGCACCACCTCAGCATGCCTGACCGCATCTGATTCTTGGTGTAAGAAGCACACACTAGAGGAGGCTGTCCCTAGCGTGGTGCTGGGAGCGCCGCTGTCTACTTAGAGAGGGTTAAACTAGATCCCTACCTGCCACCCTGTAAAATATCAGCTCAGAATATATCAGAGGCCTCAGTGTGAAACCTAAAACTCTGAAAATGCTCGAGGAAAAAAACAGACGAAGCACAGACCTGGATAGGATCCAGTAGCTGGGGATGCGGAGGCAGAAACCGACAGGGTCACATGTCACATGGCAGTAAGGATGGGCAAATGAAACAACCATCAAGGTGAAGATGAGCGACCAAGGGAGGCAATGTCTGCCCGCTGTTATTCAGCGTATAGAAAGAACCCAAAAACCAACAAGTAACTCATGTTTTAAAATGTACACTTCTGAAGAAATGCAATTGTTAACAAATGCATTGTGTGTGTGTGTGTGTGCGTGCAAGTGTGCCTGCATGTGTGAGTGTGTGTGTGCATGTGTGAGAGTGTGTGTATGTATGAATGTGTGTGCACGTGCGTGTGTGCGTGCGTGCGTGCGTGCGTGTGTGTGTGTATGTGTGTGTGTAGAGGCCAGAGTAGACATGAAGTGTTTTCCTCCTCTCTGCTGGAGCCAGTGCCTCTTGCTAAACCCAGAGCTCAAGGACTCAGCGAGTCCAGCTAGCCAGCCCAGGGCTCCCTTATCTCTGGGTCTCAAGTGCTGGGATTACAGGCAGGCCACCATGTCTGCCTTTGCCTTCTGTGAGGACGCTTGCATGGCAAGTGCTGTACCCACTGAGCCATCTCCCCGGCCCCCACAAACACGTTTCAAATAGTCGACATCCTTAGCATTAGGAAAACACAAGTCGAAACTGCATTAGGGTTCCATCCCCTCTAGTTAGGAGCCCAGTCATGAGGAAGGCAGCACATGCTGGCGAGGATGTGGAAAGGGAGCATTGTACCACTGGGGACTGCATGGTGTGGCCACCGTGGACTTCAGAAACCGCCCTCTGAGCTACGGCGTGGTCCCGCCCTGCCGCTCTTGGCTATATGCCGAAAGGAGCAGGGTCTGCGTGCCCTGCAGTGCCTGCAGAACAGACTCAGCGGTGCATGAAGGGAGACAGGTGTGGCGTGGGCAGTGGTGTTTTAGCTATACATAAAAAACGGAAGTATGGTGCTGGCAGGAAAAGGAATAAGGCCGGAGGTCATTACTTGAAGTAAAACGAGCCACAAATGTTTCGTGTTTTCTCTCAGAGGAGTTTTTTAAAAATGACATGGAGGAGACAGACAGTGAAGAGACGGGGTGGGGGGAGGGAAAGAGAGTGGGTGTGCTTCAAACAAGGCTACGAACGTAAGGAGGCATCGCAGAGAAACCCGCTGTTTGTACAATTACTATGTGTTTTAAGATCCATGGTAAAAATAAATATTTAAGAAAAAAAAATCACCTGTGGCTTTTGCTAAAATATGACTTCCAGGCCCTTCCTGTCGCCAGAGCCCTGCATTTTGGCCTGGAGTAAGCCCTAAGACTTGTCATTCCCGTAAGAACTCCGGGGGCTTGCCAGGCTCAGGTGGGTGGTGGGTGCCGAGTCCCTGCAGCGCTATGCAGAGTGCACCCTGGGACAGGCCCACCGTCCTGGCGGGGGAACTGAGGGTCCGAGGGTCCAGCAGCCTGGACTCAGCCACAAGGAAGGGACTTTCCTCACTGGCCCAGAATCATCTCTTTCTAAACTGAACCCCTTGGACAGCTTCTCCGTTTGCAGGGACTCTCCCTAGCCTGGGCCCGCCCTGTGCCACGCCCTGGAAAGGTGGCTCCATTTTCATTCTGGCACAATCTTCCACAGCACCTAAGTGGAAGGACCCGTGGCTGTGGACTGGTGGGACAGACAGCCAGCTTTACTGTCCTCAGGTCCGAGAGCTGGAGAAGCAGCTGGGACAGCGCCAGAACAAGCCTGCCGACCCCTCCAGCTCCGAGCTGCCTGTCAGTTCAGACCCAAGGAAGCTGACAGCCCAAGAGAAAAACCTGCTGAGGATCCGCAGCCTGGAGAGGGACAGGCAGGAGAGCTGGGAGGTGAGGCGGGCCCAGCCACTGGCTTCCATAGCACCCATCAGGAAGTGGCCATCCCTTACAGGCCAAGATGCAGGGGCCCTGGGGCAGCTCTGTGAACAGGCTTCTCACATCCTGTCATCGGCCAGCTTGGGCTGCCTGGGTGGGGCCTCACCCTGGGTCCATTCAGGGAAGGGTAGATGGTCCGGCCATGGCTGTTCAAGGGGAGCTCTGTGTAAAACTCCCTATAAAGGAGATACGTTTGTGTGGCGGTGCAGGGTGTCTTAGTCATTGTCCCAAGAAAAGCAATGTGCGGCGAGAAGGGTTGGTCTCAGCTCACTGTTGGAGGGGACCCGTGCTATCTGCAGGGAAGGCTGGGGGACGAGTCTGCTGTGTGGCTGGCATCCTCCTGAGTTTCGGTTCATTCGTTCCTTTCCACTCAGGCTGGTACCTCACCAATGGGATGTGCTTCCCACAGTCAGGGTGGGCCTTTCCTCCCAGGAAACATCCTCACAGGCATGCCCAGAGTCTATTGTCCAGTGTCTTCTAGGCGCTTCCAAATCCAGACACCTTGACGGTGATGATGAGCTCTCACAGTGGAGTAGGGTGGGACCTGAAGGAAGGGTGGGCGGGCGTGTGCTTCGGGCTGTCCCTCACTACTGACTGTGAATGGGACCACGCTCAGCCTCAGCACCTGACAAGGCTTCCAGCAGCAGGGCCTTCCGTGCTCTCTCCCGGGGAAACTTCATCGGCCTGTGCCGGGGTGTCGGGAGCGTCACCACAGCCTCCTCCAACCTTCTGCAGGGCTGGGCACAGCGGGTCCTGCTGAACCTTGTATGCCAGCATAAGCACCGAGACAGTTTAGTTGTGAAGCGACATGGCCCCCCGACCTTCGGACACGACACGTAGCATGGTTCCGGGGAAGGGAGGTGGCACAGGCGGTGTGTCTCAGTTAGGGTTTCTGTTGCCGTGAGGAGACACCGTGACTCTTGTAAAGGAAAGCCTTTAACTGGGGCTGGCTTACTGTTCAGAGGTTTAGTCCCTTGTCATCCTGGCGGGAGGGAAGCATGGCGGCATGCGGGCAGATGTGGTGCTGGAGAGGAGCTGAGAGCTCTGCATCTGGATCTGGAGGCAGCAGGAAGAGGGAGCGATACACTTGCCGGGCTTGAGCTTCTGAGACCTCCAAGCCTACCCTCTAGTGACACACCTCCAGCAAAGCCACACCCACTCCTGCAAGGCCACACCCACTCCTGCAAGGCCACACCCACTCCTGCAAGGCCACACCTCCTAATCGTGCCACTCCCTGTGGCCAAGTGTTCAAACACGTGGGTCTATGGGGGCCATTACTGCGGAAGCCCCCACAGCGTCAGAGTGACGACAGTCCCCCTGGGATGTGACCAAGGGCTAACGCCGAGGTAGGAAACTAACAGCGGCAGGCTGGACACGAGAGCTGTGGAGGGTGAGTCTGGAGATGTGGGAAGAATTATAAAGGACTTGCAGCTGGTGTGTGAGGAAGAGGACATGAGACTAGGGGACGCCGGTGTGGCCTGCTCCAGGCTGCACGGCACGGCACGGCACGCTGTCCATGGGAAGATGTGTAGAAAAGAGTGCCTGAGTCACAGTGGCCATGGGAGGGGACAGGGCCTAGGTCTACGTCATCCTCTGTCCAGGTGGTCACAAGGGGCTGTGGACCAATAAGTGAGCAGTGGCCGCTGCTGGCCCAGAACTGGGTCATGCCATCATGTCCTCCCATTCCTCTTGTCTATGATCTTTAGCTAGACTGACATCTTTCCAGTGATAATGGCCGCAAGAAGAAGCCATTCCCTGCCCTGCCCCGCCCCGCCCCGCCCCGCCCTGCCCAGTGGCTCTGTGAAGGGCTTAGCTAACCTGGCCTCTGCCCCTGCCCAGCCCCTCTGCGATCTCCAGCACACACAGGACATTTGTTCTTATCATCGGCTCCCACTTCTGCTCAGCTGTCCTTTATAGGGAGTCCTCTGACCGTATTGTGCTCCGTGTCCCCTCCCCAACACCTCAATAGGCAGCAGGGTGTCTCGCATGCTTGGTGTCACTCCTTGGGAACAGATATTCTATGTCACTCCTGCTTTACCCCAGCACCTGTCACAGTGCACATAGTAGGCCCACAGGAAACATACAGATGAAGGAATGAGAGGCTCTGAAAGTATGAGAAACATGTGAGCACTTGGTTTATAGTGGGCAGAGCCGGGTGCAGAGTGCAGAGGGGACCCCCGTCCCCGTCTCTACACTACAGAGATATCACAGAAGCCCTTACTGAGTGGGTTTACATGGGAAGGGGTCAGTAGCTGCCCCCAACAGCACTGTTTCTGTTAGAAACCATAAACAAAACGCAAAATAGAAACGAGCCACGTTGGTTAAGAAATGGTTTGGTGAGCCATGTAGCTAGTTCTGGTTATTTGCCATGTTCATGTGTGAGTATGTGTGCATGCGGGTGCGTGTGTGTGCATGTGTGTGCACGTGTAGAGGCCGGGTTCAGTTGCAGGAGTCATTTTCCACCCATCTGTAGGCTCCAGAAATCAAGCTCCGGGTTTTATCTTCTGAGCTATCCTGCCAGTCCTAACGTTCATTGTAAAACAGGAGAGGAGGCACGCTGCCGTCCCTTAGGGCTGTCTGCCATGTGCTCATCAGGAAAAGGGGTGGGGGGAGGCTGGGTGTGCCTGAGGCCAGGAGCCTGGCACCATGTCTTGTTCCTGTGGCTTTCAACAGCCGCCCCCACCCCTGAGTCTCCCAGTGAGTGGGGGCTGGGTTGCCCTGAGCTACGGCATGGGCTAGCCCCAGCTCTCATTGTCTAATGACAGAAACTGGCCAGTGAGCGGGACACCCTCCAGACAGAGCTAGAGGAGCTGAGAAGGAAGTTTGAGGGCATGCGGTCTCGCAACAAGGTGCTGTCCAGCGAGGTGAAGACCCTCCGGAGCCAGATGGTGACCCTGGTAGAGAAGGGCAAGCATGACGACGAACTGATTGATGCCCTCATGGTATGCAGGCGGGGAGGGCGCAGGCGGGGAGGGCGGGGTGCCGACAGAGCCCTCCCAGATGACGCTCTTTCCTACAGTGCAGCCTCCGGGGTGCAGCAGCCCAGAGTGCCTGCGGGAGATGGCTGTGACCCTGGGACCCCAGAGGAGATGGGACGCTAATGGGGGTGAGGCAGGGTGGGGCCCCCTCTAGGGAACCGCCGGCTGCAGGGTGAGCCTGCCTCTGTGGGCAGCTCACTGGCGGTGGTTCTGTGCCTGGGGTGTTCAGGGTCTCCATTTTCTCCTGAGGTGACAACAGCTGCTCTCTCCTATCGCACGCCATACTGTCGTTCCTCTTTGCCCCAAAGTAAGGAGCCTCTGTCCTTAGAGTCCTCTTTGGGGAGAGGTTGTAGGGACCAGGCCTCAGGTGCTGACAGGCTCCTGGCAAGGTGTGCAGGGTCAGGCCGCCTTTGTACTCAAAGTAGCGCGAGCCTGCCTCTCCCTGCCCTCTGGCTTGACCCTCAGGACCAGCTGAAGCAGCTTCAGGACATCCTGGGCAGCCTCAGTGTGCAGGAGGAATCGAGGCGCACATCTCAGCACCACCTGGACCAGAAGGTCAACAGTGAGGCCCAACGGAGCAGCAGCCTTGTGGCCCAGCTGCGGGCCATGGTGGCCGAGCGGGAGGCCAAGGTGCACCAGCTGGAGCTGGAGATTGGGCAGCTCAGCGTGCAGGTGGGCAGGGCGCCACGGGGGTGGGGTGGGGGAGGGCGTGGTTGCCCCGGGGAGCTCCTCCCGCCTCTTCGGTCTTACTTCAGCACTGGCCACACTGCCCCATCCCGGGTGCACGCCGCCCGCCACTCGCTGTGATTCCATACTCACTTTTCCTTCCTAACACGCAAGCCCCTGCCTGTGGTCACACCGTCCTGAGCGTGTATGACCTTGGCTAAAGCACCAACCCAATCATGTCCCTGCTCAGCTTAGAAGCCACCCCTGGCTTCCTGTCACCCCCACCTCCCCCAGGATCAAGAGGACCCAGACTCCTACCAGCTCATCCTTTCCCACCTGCAGCGGTGGCCCTCGCCTTCGTGACCCATGTGGCAGCTGTTGCTCCAGCCACTGTGCTCACGCTGCAGTCAGTAGGATGGCCACACTTTACAAATTAAAAATCTCCTAACGCTTTGACAATGTCACACATGTTTAAAAGACATTTGGATTGTTTTCACAGCCTCCGTTACCCGCTCCCAGCCCTCCCAGCCCCCCCCCCCACTAACTCCTCCTTCCCCCTGCTTGCTTAGTATCTTCTCTGTGTGTCACCTTTGCCTGTGTGGGGAGGGAGGGGTTAGTAACTGGAGCAAGGTCCACTCTCCAGGGGCTACAGCACTGGAGAAGGGGAGGTGAGTCCTTCCACCCCCCAGCAACCACCAGCTGTGAGCAGTGCCTGAGAGGGCCCAGGTCCTATGCGTCCTATGCGTGCCTCCTCTGCCCCCGCTGGCATGTTGACAGCCCCTGCTTCGTCCAGGTCGTGCCCAGGTCACGGGGGGGGGCGGCGCGTGAGGGCGGCAGCCGTACCACGTCTATGGGACAGTGTGTCACGGCTCTCTCCTCCCGGCCTCCCCACGCTCCTTCTGTCCCCCATCCTCCAGGGTCCCCGAGCCTTGAACAGAGGAGCATAGGTGTCCAGTTTAGGGCTGAGCACTCTCCATCACTTTTTCTCAGCACCCTGACCAGTTGCGCAGGGACCAGGGAGGGTCTCTGAGACCATCACTGCAAGCAGAAGCTTCCCTGGCAGACAGAGGCTTTGAAGCCTGCACTAACCCGTGGCTGTAACACGCATAGAAGGTGGTTTGATACCATGTCCACTTAGCAAAATGGCAGTAAAAGATTCCTTCGTATGGTCTGTGACCTCCCCCCCAGCCACGGGCTTTTGCCTGTGTTTACAGTATCTGGCATGAACTCTCCCCTGTGGAGCAGGCTTCAAATCCAATCAAAAAAGCTGCTCATTACGGCCAGAGGTCATGCCACCGTTGGACCAGTGGGCACACCTTGCCTGGAGGGCTGGTATTGTGTCGCGGCTTTAATGACTCTTCTCCCCGAGTAACCTCCATATCACCTTCTGGCACCATGACAGCTAGCCAGCACAGTGGACACGCCCGGCTTTCTTCTGCGCCCTCCAACCAAAGCGTGTAGTGTCTTCAGCAGTAGGGTCTCACCACCTAGTTATGGTGGACAGCCGAGAGCAATGCTGACAGCCTGTGTTGTTTGGAGGGAGGGGGCTCTGAGGCCTCCCTGATTAACAGCGTGGAGGGAGGTCTTCGCCTGCCTGGTGCTGCAGTTTCCATCTGGCAGCCTGTGGACTCTCGTAGCAGCGCTGTCCGTCCATACTGGGTACCTCTTTTACCTTTCTCTTTACTGCTCCATATTTTAATTGGCTGACAGAACAGTAATCCCAGATGGCTTTTTCATGCATCCTTTGACTCGGTTACGCCACCACCACCCTGTGTCCCACTCCCGCTCAAAACACACTTCATTCATGTTGGGACTGGTGCCGTCCCCCCCCACCCCCCCCACCCATCCCAGTGTCTTCCGGTCACCCCTCCCCCACCTCCACACTCTTTGTCACTCAGCTCCTCAAATGGCCCCGCGTTTACTGTCCTTCTTCCAATCCATTGGCTCATCCCGGCCAGCTGCCCTTAGGATGTGATGCGAGTGTCCATGAGCTCCTCCAGGAAGCCTTGGCCTCCCTCTTGTAGCTCCCCAGGTCCCCTCAAGCTAATCTCTCCTCATACTGTGTGCCCACTGTGTCCTCCGCCCCCCCCAACTTCCCTCAAAGGTCATAGGCTACAGGGGAAGGAGGGGTCTGTGTCAGGCATGCAGGTCTCAGGGTGTGTGACCTTAACCCCTTTAGATAGACCTTCTGGGATGACAAAGGTATGTCACAGAGCAGCCCTGGCCTGTGTTCCCTTCTAGGGTTCCAGGTCCAGTCAGAGCTGCCAGAGCTCTGGCCCCTTTCAGACTGGCCCAGATTGACCGGTCTGCTGTGCTGAGGGTAGCCTAGGGCTGCAGGATTGGCTGATGGAGAGCTCCGGGCATCAGGCAGGGGAGGAGTGGGTGGAACATTCCAACAGGACCACCTTTGGTTGGCACCCAGCAGAGGACAGATTCTGTGCCTCAAGGTCACCAGCCAGCTGGGAGCCAAGCTCCACTTACCAGATACAATTTCATATTCCAGTTTTCTCAGACTCCCTGGGGACATGGAATAAATACCAAGCTGTGAGCAGCACACTCATTGCTGCCCTTTGATGGTGGCCAAAAGAGGGCGGGGTCTGGGCAGCCCCACTGGCCCTCCAGGCACCTGAAGTCCAGGTGTGAGGGTTGAGCACGGGCCTGGCCTCCAGTCACACCGTGTGTGTGTGTGTGTGTGTGTGTGTGTGTGTGTGTGTGTGTGGCCACCTAGGACTGAGGTCAGCTCTGACCTCCCTGTGGCCCTGGCCTACTCCGGTCTCACTGAGGAGCCCCCATCTGAACAGAGGCCTTGTGAGAAGTCATTGTTATGCAAGCAGTGCCTCTGCTATCCAGGCCAGCATTCACCCCGAAGAGAAGTTCCTTTCATACCCTGAAGCTGGAAGCCCGCCGAGGCACCCTCCTGCCTTCATTCAGGTCCTGCGCCAAAGCCCTGACACCCAGCCCACATCTGTTCCCTGCAGTATCTCCACAGTAAAGGAGGGGGTGAGGGGGCCAGCCCCACCCATGCCAGGTTCCCTGAGGACCACACCCCGATAACCGACTCTCCAGCCTCGGCAGGCGACCATGTCGGCAGGCTAGGATCCTCTCGGTAAGGAAAACAGGGTGGAGGGACAGTGAGTGAGGAATGGGGCCTGCCCCTCTGCGCCCTCTCGTGGAAAGTCCATGAGTGCAATTTTGTTTGTTTATTTATTTTGAGACAGGATCTCACTACGTAGCCCAGGCTGGTGGGTGTGTAGATCAGGCTGCCCTTGAATTCAGAGAGAGATCCTCTTGCCTCTGCCTCCAAGTTCTAGGATAAATGTGCTACTTTATGTCTGGCCATTGGGTTTTTGACACTGGGTCTCTCAAGTATCTCAGGTCAGCCTTGAACTTGAGATGTAGCCAAGAATGACTCTGAGCTCCTGCCTCTACTTCCCCAGTACTAGGGTTATAGACACATGCCACACCCCAGTTTATGCGATAATGAGGATCAAAACTAGGGTATTGTGCATGTTAGGTAGTTGAACCACCCCAACATGCACACCATACCACACAGACACACACACATACACACACACCACATACCACATGTAATACACACATACCACAGGGCACACACACACAAGCACACACACACACACAAGCACACACACATGCACACACACATACACACACACACCACATACCACATGTAATACACATATACCACAGGGCACACACACACAAGCACACACAGGACAGCACACACACACAAGCACACACACGCACGCACACATGCACACACACACATGCACGCACACACATGCACATATACACACACACACACACACACACACACACACACACACACGCACTTTCAGGTTGACTGCCCTGGTGCTGCTCCATCTGAAACCCTCTCCTCTCCTCTCCTCTCCTCTCCTCTCCTAGTCTACTGGGCTCCTGGTGGCAGAAAGGAAGGAGCCTTCAGCCCTGGGTTTCATCGCCTCTTTTTTTGTTTTGTTTTTTGTTTGTTTGTTTTTGTTTTTGAGACAGGGTTTCCTCTGTGTAGCTTTGGAGCCTGTCCTGGAACTCGCTCTGTAGACCAGGTTGGCTTCAAACTCACAGAGATCCTCCTGCCTCTGCCTCCCAAGTTCTGGGATTCAAGGTGTGTGCACCACCAATGCCCAGCCAAGTTTCATCACTTAAGCACCGGCTGGTGGCCCCTTGTCTGGCCCCTTGCATCACGATGCTCAAAGTGCATTCACTCCTGAGTCTCTCAGACTCTCTGCTGTTGGATTGCCTGAGGCTCTGTTTTATCTTGAACAAGAAAGGGCAGCCAGTCCACCGGGAAACCGTGAGGCCCACATGGCTTCCTCAATCCCTGTCCACTGTGAGGTCCAGCAGTGCCCACTCCTTCCCTGCTGATGTCCCCTTCTGCCTCCACACAGCTCTGTGACCAGCCTGGGCCACACGCTGGTAGAATCTGCTCTCACGAGACCATCCCTGCAGAGTCCCCACAGGACCTCACCCAGGTAGGAGTGTAGCACCCCTGGGCTCTGGAGTTTATCACCTTCCCTTGCTCAGCATCCTCAGCCCATTAAAAGGATGGAGGCCCGAGGCCTGGCCAAGTCCAAGCCTTCATTGAGGGTTACATAAGACCACCTGGGAGAGTAAACAGCCTCAGAGCTAGATCTAGGCCCCGACAGGCAGCCTGGGCCTCTTTCCTGGACTAGAGAGTCAGCACAAGGTGCCTCCATGGCCTGGCCCCACCTTCCACAGTCTTCTCTTACCGCCGAGAATCTTTCTGGGGGGGGGGAAGCATCTCATCACATGGGTCCCCACACTAAGCCACTGATATCCCCTCGGCTCTCCAGCCCCCTCTTTGTGGATAAAGCCAGGCTCAGGGCCTAAAAGAACCCTTTGTTCTTCTTGTGGGCTCCTCCACAAAGGATGGTTTGTCCTGCTTCTGAGTCCACCCACTGTCCACTGCCGACTCCTGCCATCAGCACGCCCCATCCCCTCAAGCAGGTTAGCTCAGGATCCACACAAGGCCTCAAGTGGGCCCACCCTCACTCGAGATTTACCATGTGGCTATATATAAAGCAAGTTAGCAAGTTGGCATCTGTCTGGGCTACTGTCCCCCACAAAGTACCTGTGACAGTTTGAGCCAGATATTGAAAGTAGGCAAAGCACTTGACACTGGCAGGGAACCAGGCCCCGGAGCCATGTCCTGAGCCACGTCCCCTGGTCCTCCATAGGGATTGGTAGACAGAGCTACAATGCCACTAGCATCTTAGTGGCCTGAGTGGCGTAGCAGAACCAGGTATGGTGGCTGGGTTCCCCTCCCCTCTGGCCATCCCAGAACCTCTAAATGTCACGCTTCCTCCTGCCACGCACGGTAAGGGAATGTTTATGTCTTCAAACTTAATGTGACTTGTGCCCTCCACTCTGGCCCCAGGTTCCTGGACTCCCCAGAACAAAAAGGCTGGCAAGCACAAGCTGCAGAAATGAAGGCCCTTTGGCAGGCTGCTGAGGTGGAGCGTGACCGCCTCAATGAGTTTGTCACCGTCCTGCAGAAGCGGTAACACTAACACGTGGCACCCAGCCAGCTCTCTGGCCGGGGCCTGTGCGGGTTGAGGCTGGGCTCTCTCACAGTCACACCCTCCAGGGCCCTCAACTCTGGGTTCTGTCATCACTGGGGACAGACAGCCCGGTTTTCCGTGCACACAGAGGGTCTACCGGGTGGCCACCTTGGGGGACTGGTTGTGCAGTGAACACAGTCAGACTCAATTCAGGGGGCACTTAGTCTCTGTCACGTCTGGCCATCCTGTACGAGCTGCCAGAGCCTAGCCTGCTGCTAGGGGCAGGACAGTGGCCGAGGCGAGAAGCTGAGGTTTCTGAGGGGCAAGAAAGCAGTGTGCCACTCAGGTTCCCGGTCGGGTCCGGCTGCCTCCAGAGGGTTGCTGACAGATTTCACTCAGGCAGTGCTCCTGCTCAAAGGGCCTGTCTGACACTAACTAAAGTTCCCCCAGGCCAGCACATGGACCATCCATCCATGTGACCTCCACCCTAAGAAAATATAAAGGACGAGACCAAGCACCTGTCCTCACAGAGGGGTCAAGTGTCAGCTCTTTGATGACAGGGATAATAGAGACCAGTTCTGCCTGAGCTCAGTGGAAGGGAGACCCAGAAATTACCAGAAAATGTCGAGGAGCAGAACAGAAGGCCCCAAGCAGGTGCAGGGGGTCTCGATAGTGTGTTTCCCGGGAGTTCTAGCCCCTTGTCCACCCCCAAGAGAGGGCAGCCAGACTGCTGGGACCTCCAAGCACTCACAGAACTGGGGGAGGGGGCTTGCTTCCGAGGCAGCGAGGGTGAACAGTTCAGAAGCAGTGGAAGGCTGTGATACAGGGTCTCGGGTACCGAAAGCACCCACTCTCTCTATAATTGCGTTCCGTGGCTAATACTAATATCTGTCGAAAGGCAGCCGCCCTGTCCTCCACGTGGGGCTTTGTGTCTGTGAGTGGAGGGTGGCCTGGTTAACTGTAGCTGCAGAACAAGCCATCCTGACTCGGGCTCGCTGGGAACTGTTCCAGCCAGGGCAGCCAGGGCGCTCTCTCTGCTGCAGAGGACCACGGCGAACCACGGCGACTCGCTGCCTTTTCCTCGGCCTGAGACGGCCTTTCTCAGGGCCTTCCCACACCTGGCTGGGCCTAGATTGAGACAGGCCATTTCTGAGAGTCACATACATCTCTGTCAGCTTTCATAGCGCTCAGGTTCATCCTGCTGTTCTGTGTCATTGGGAGCTCTGTGAGGCTGTCCTGGGGCTCATGGGCCAAGATACCATTACTTCCTGAGCGACATCCAAAGCCAGGCCCGCCTGTCCTCAGAGCCTTTCCTAGCAGTTAGCCCTGGCCCTCTGTGTAGTTTGTCTCCTCTGCCCGCTGTCTGCCCTGCAGCTTCTGACTGCTCAGCTGGGGCCCCCTTACCCCAGGGTACAGTCAGGAAGGGTCCTGGCTAGCGTGTCTGAGAAATTAATGCGTGTGCACGCGAGAGAGCATGCGCCAACACAGGCACGCAGGGAGAGGTCAGAGGCAGCTTCTTCCACCGTGTGTACTCTGGGAACGTGACTGAGGCTTGGCAACAAGTGCCCTTACCTGCTGGGCCATCTCCATGATCCCTTTTCTCTCCCCGTTTTCAGTGAGAGGGGAGGGACTGTCACTTGTCTGGGGACAGGGTGTGTTAGCATTAACTTATAATGCTGGAGCTGGGGAGGGTGCCTGCAGCTTGCCGGCCAGACAGTTCAGTCTGCTTGGTCACTTTCAGGCCAGTGAGGAACCTGGTGATGATGCCTAAGGGTGGGCAACAAGGCTGACCTCTGACCTCTACATGGGCATGCAGTCCACCTTTACACACATATACACATAAACCCCTACACATACACACATGCAGATACACACACATAGACACAGGAGTGTGTGCATGCACTCATGCACACACACACACACACACACACACACACACTCTGGGAAACTCATATCATGCTTTACCGTTTTCCATGGTGCGCGCTGTCGATTTCTTAAGTCTGTGAGTGTAAATGCACAGCTGAAGGGACTGCCCCTCCATGCCCATGTGAGTCCGTTTCCACTCCACAAGCAGCTTTGGATTTGTTTGTTTTTAAATTGTTAATTTGGTGTAAATATTTAAGTTGCACCATACATTATGCATGACCTCTGCTTGTCTCACTTACTAATAATGCCCCATGGAGCCTCTTTCCTCCTCAGAGTGGGCTCTTCTCACGTGACTTCCCTAGTTTACTTAGCGTTCCTCCATTTGAGTTACTAGTTTCTAGTTTGCAAATACTTTCTCGTGTTAAGATGTTTATTTCGGCCCTCATTTTACTTGATGCTTTTGTTTGTTTGTTTGTTTTTGAGACAGGACCTCACTATGCAGCCCTGGCTAGCCTGGAGCTCACTGAGTAGATCATGCTGGCCTCGGGCTCAGCGACCCTTCTCCATGCCTCCCGCTATGGCTAAAGGTGTAGGCCACCAGGCCCAGAGGTGGCCTTTCGTTTTGCTTTGCTATGCGTGCTGCTGGGGATGAGCCAGGGCCTTGAGCTTGGCCGGCTATACCCCAGCCTCTCAGAACTTTCAGGATTGTGAATGGGGGTGACTTTTACTGTGTGTCTCCATCTTCTTATGGCGGTGCTCACAGCATTCCAGACACTTCTGATGCCAGGTTGTTGAGTGTCGTTTCTGGCTGTAGCCGTCCCAGTTGGCTTGAAGTTGTATCTCAATGTGGCTCCTGTCTCCCTGGTGACGGCAGATACTGAACGTCCGATGGCAATTCATGTATCTTCTTTTGAGGCATAGGATTTTTTTTTTTTTTTTTTTTTTTTTTTTTTTTTTTGCCTGCTTTTTAATGGATTTGTTTGTCTTGAGCTCTGTTGCTGTTAAATTGCAGACCTTTCTTTCCCTGGAACTCTTGTACTGCTTGAACACAGCAAGTCTCTGGTGACTAACTCATTTGAACTTGTAAGATGGCTGAGCAATCAGGCTCAGGGTATGGGTATCAGCCCCAGGCACCATCACCACTCCATCTGTTTGCATGGCTGCCGCCAGCCAGCCTCCACTGCCAGCAGGCCATCCAGGTGACATCCCCTCAGGGCAGGGCCTTGGTCTTGTTGCAAACAAACCTCTGCGGACATAGATGTGGACCAGAGCAATCTTGCTACCACTGCTAACAGCATCCAGACTAAGCTGTCTATCATTTTCAAATCTTGGCCCTCCCCCACCCCGCCCTGCTGTCCAGTTCTAGCATTTGCAGATACGAACGAGCAGGCCTGCAGATGCCATTGTTGAGTGGCCTTCTCTTGCCACTGTGTCATCTGTGTTCTCATGGCATGGCCCTTGCTTCACCGGCCCCATGACCTGTGGATTCTGTTTGTGTCGATGATTAGAGTGGGAATGCTCGGCAGAGCCGGCAGAGACGGTTCAGGTCTGCGGTGGGCAGTGCAGCATCCGCAAACCGTGGGCCACAGGAGCCTTTCCCAAACCTGGTCCCTGCCAGTGTTCCTGAGAAGCTGGGGAGCCCATTTTAATCCTCGCCAACTGTACAGCTACCTCTGGGCACTGGGCGCAGCCACCACGCTAGGCAGCTCAGCTCAGCTCAGCTCAGCTCAGCCATGCTGGGGCGTGAGCATTCCCCTGGCCCAGAGTTGCTGTGCATCTTGCTTTTGAAAATAAAGTTGGCTGCCTACTGGTCATGTCAGGCTAGTGTACACAGTTTTTGCTTAGTAATTGGACTCCCTTCGGATTCCTTGTCCTTCCAACCCTCTGCTGTGTCCTCACTGACACAGAAAGATGGTTCAATTCCCTGCTGCCCACTGTGGCTTCCATGCTGCAGCTCCGGTCCTGCCACCATTTCTGTTACCCTTTGCTCAGGCTGGCCACAGAAATCCAAAGAGTTTTGTGGAGCCACGGCAAGGCCCATGGGTGCTTAAAGACAGCGATGGAAGAAGCCATGGCACTAAGTGCAGGGAAAGGAGGTGTGAGGACATGTCATTGCCCCTGCGCCCGAACTCATCCATAGAAGGCAGGGGATGGCGTCTCTGCCTGGGAATATTTCATAGTGCATCATCATGGGCCCCAAAAGATTATCCTGGGTAATCACTTCAGCCATAACGGCAGAGACATGTTCCTACCCGGGCCTTTCAAGGGAGCTGTGAGGAAAGAATCAGGTCACAGCCATTCAAAGCCAGCTTTCAGAAAGAGGGACTTGGAGACTGCCTTTTGAAGCCAGCAGAAGGCAGGGAGGCGGCTCTGGGTGGGCTTGGGAGTGGATTCTCCCCCCACCAGGATTCCAGTTAGGAATTCAGGTCAGCTGACACTTGGATTCCAACCTGTGGCGCCTGGAGCCTTCCGGCCTCAGATGCACAGACACAGCCATGCGATGCTAATTTTGTGTTGTCTTCCAGCAACATTTTGCTAATTTTGCTTATTAGTCTCTGGTGTTTTGTGGAAGGCACATTACCGCAGCAATAGGAACAGATAGACTGCCTAGTGCCAATCAGCCAAGAAGGGGGAAGGTGACAGACAGGACAGAGTAAAAGGAAAGGAAACCCTTATCCAGCATGATAAGAAGCCAAGACCCGCGCCCCAGCCTCAAAACCAGGCACACAAGCATCTGTACGGTGTGGCAGAAAACTCTAGATGCCCGCAGCAAAGCCACCAAGAGAGGCGGTTGCCCTGAGGGCAGGAGTTGGGAGCAAAGGGGTGGGACACCGGCCAGGTTTGCATCTTAAGCCCCAGAGAGTTTGAAATGCCTGTTCTGTTGTTACTGCTGTGAGGGGGGGTGAACCGCCGTCCATAGTGTGTCCACCGCTGTGGGGTCCACGACTCGGGTAGGGTAGGTAGCATCTGCCTGCAGGGTGTGAAGCTTGTGTCTACGGCCAGGGCAGAGGAGAGCAGCAGCAAGCTTCTGGAAGCTGAGCAGAGGCTGCAGGAGGAGCGGCAGCGCGCTGTCCTCTTGGAGCAGCACCTGGAGAAGATGCGTCTGGAACCTTCCAGGGCCTCGGCATCCCAGAAGGCCGCTAGGAGCAGGTCAGGTAAGGAAGCCCAGTGGGCGAAGCAGCCTCAGGGCTGGGCAGGCGGGCTCCTTTGCTCTTCATCCGTGGGTGTCGTCTGGGTGTCCTCGTCGGCAGCTCTGCCTGCCCCTGCTGTAGGGGCTTCCTGTCCGGGGTCCCCTTGTGGCTCCCAGAGACTTGGGGCCCTGTGGGAGCCACCTAGGAGCCTTAGCATGAAATGGCAGTTACGCCTGCTGCATGGCCTCTGCCTATACTCCCGATGCCAACTTCCAGAGCCTTTGCTTGGCCCTTGATTGAGCCTAATCTAGCCCCGATCAAAGCTGGTCTTGGGCAGAGTTGGTCTGCTGGGTCAACGTGGAAGTCACGGGAGTTCTCAGTGATGCAGTCACACAGGCACCGAGGAGACTTCCCTGGTTTGCCCAAGGCCACGCAGCAGGGGTGAAGGCCAGTTCTGCTCTGGCTGAGGGTTTCCTGAAGCCTTTTTAGCTCAGAATATTTTGATGTCCTGACACCCTCACCCAAGGTCATACATGGCTTTTTCACCTTTCTCTGAGCACTCTGTGGCCACTGAGCCCAGCCACCCACATTTTCCTAATATGAAGCTGCTAGTCTAAATGGAAACCAGTAGGGAGACCAGGATGGGGCGGTGTGTGTGTGTGTGTGTGTGTGTGTGTGTGTGTGTGTGTGTGTGTGTGTGTGCATTAGAAGCGGTAACAGCCTAGACTTGGGCTCAGACCTCAGGCCAGCTTTTGGTACAAGCGAGCGATAAAGATGGGGGAAAGGAGAGGTGGACATGCAGGTGAGGACCACCGTGGCACAGGCAGGCAGAGCCAGGGCTGGGATGTGGAGAGCAGTCAGGGAGGGCTTCTAGAGAGAGGCGGCCCCTTCCTGCACCCTGTAGGAGATGTGAAGCTGGAAAACGGAGTGGGCATGCTGGGGAGGGGGGGCTCGATTAATTCTGACCTCACGACAGAATGTGGCTGCTGCTCCTCCACAGGGCCCCCCACCCCCAGCACGAAGCACGACCCGACTGGGAGCGCCAAGAAAGACCCGCCCTCCACTCAGCTCTCCCATGTGCCCATGGAATCCCAGATAGAGGAGCTGACTGCCAGGTGCCTCCTGCCCAGCCTACGGGAAAGCGTAGAGATGCCCGAGTGGAGGCTTCATGGGCAGAGGGACCATGTCCCTGTCCCTTGCACCCACGACCTCTCCTTGCCCACAAGGACGGTTTTGCTAGGACTGGCCTTGGGAGTGTTCCACAGTGCCCTGATGACCCCAGGGTCCCAAGAGAGCCTGTGTCAGTACTGGGCTGTGCCACCCCTTTCTCCAGCAGTTACCCTCCAAAGGGGCGGGGGTGCTGTCCCAGCCGGCAGAGGGCTGGCACAACAGGCCCAACGCCCTGGGTTCAGTCCCCAGCATTGCATACACAGGGCGTGGGCGTGGTCGCACACGCCTGTAACCCCAGAGCTCTAGCACTGGTGGAGGCAGGATGATCACACCATCACTGGCTACTTACTGAGCCTGAGTCCAGCCTGGGATACGACGAGCCTATCTCAAAATAGAAAGAGAGAGAGAGAGAGAAAGAGAGTGGGTGTAGGAATCTGGGTAGTTAAAGCTGCTCAGAACTTCTGGGTCAGTACTGTGGGTGGGCCCAGAGAAAGATCCCTTTGGTTTGTGTCCCCTCCCAAGCCTGCATGCAGCACAGCTCCTCCTCCAGGCCGGGCCCCAGAACCCCTGCTGGTTCTGTGCACTCAGCTCCATCTCCCTGTGTCCAGGCTGGCTATCCAGATGGAAGAGAACAGAGTCCTGAGAGACGCCCTGGGCAGTGCCCTGCGTGGGAAGGAGGAGGACTTCCGCATGTACCACCAGACCCTGGGCCAGGTGAAGGGGGTGTTCCTGCAGGCGCTGCGGCAGCAAAAAGCCAACAAGCAGTAGACCGCAGCTGCTCACTCAACTCCTGGAGGGCAGGACCGTCCACTGCGGTGGGCTGCACCCGCGAGGTCCCTCCCAGAAGCCACCTGGAATACTGGCTGAGCTGAGGCCTGCTGAGCGGGCAGGCTGAGGATGCCTGGGCCAGGGAGGAGCGGCCAACTCCAGCAGATGCGTTTCCTTGAGCAGGTGCTAAGGCTCTTGTCCTAGGGTTCTAGCCAGAGCCCTGTGCTGCTATGGGCTTTCCACACACAGATGAGCCCCTTGGTGCTTCCTGATGAGGGCGCCCGCCCGCCCGCCCGGAGCCATCCCCCCCTCCCTATCTCCCCTGCGCCCAGCCTCTCTGTAAACTAACCACATGCATGGGGAGGAATCTTGTGCTTGACATAACAAGGCTGCTTTCACAGTCGCCAGGGCTGGGCTCTACTTGTCTGGTTGAGTGTGTTCCTGCCCATACTGGGGAGCCTGGCCTGTAGCAGGCAGGGTTTTACAGTTGTGGGCACAGACCTCCAAGCAGAAGGCTTGGCTGCTAGGGTCAGGAAGCAATCCAGGCAGGGCAGGGCCCGAGGGTGGACAGGCTAGGGCAGAGCCTCTTGGTACATGAGTAGTGTATGAGCTGGTGGGTGCTGCAGGAGGGGCCCAGGACACCCTCATTTCAGTGACTGTAACAGTTTCACGGTCACCCATAGCCATACCACAGCCACGACAGCCACAGCCACACATGTTCACACACAGGCACACAAACAGCTCCGCCCACACAGGCAGTGAGAAAAGGAATAGACACACTCCCTCCCACGGGACACAACCACGTGTATAGCTTGTACAAGGCACACGGCGGCAGTGCCCTCCCTGGAAAGCCCGCGTTTCCCGAGACCCCGTGTGCTCCGTTTGTTCTAAGAGGTTTGTGGGGAAAATCCTTGCTGCCCAGGGCACCTGGACCTCCTGGATAACGGGAGTCTGAGATCTCACAGCAAGATGCAGCTAAGGCCCTTAGGATGAAGCGGCAGTTTGGATACAGCCCCAAGAGTTTAGGGAGGAAGAGTGCCCCCCCACCCCCAGTGACAAGCGGCGAGAGAGGAAGGAGACCGTATGTGACAGTAAGAAGAGGGAGTCATGGCATCTTCTTGAGGCATGGGGTGGGGATGCGGGTGCCAGGCCTCAGCAGAACCTCTGGAGGTGAGAAGCAGACAAGGACCAGCCAGCCTCCCTCAGAGGCAAGCAGGGAAGTGCAGGGAGGTCTGGGCCCTGTGTGTCAGCAGCAGCCTGGGCCCAGCTGAAGGAAGGAGCCCTGGCTTGTCCAGCCTGAGTCTTAGCTGGGAGCCGGGCAGGTCTGCATCTCACTCAACAGCCAGCCGCCATGCCTTCCTCTGTGGAACAGGACAGCACTAGAAACCGTGTTCAGAGGGGCCATTCATAGGATAAGACATCTAGCCGATGACAAGTATCCATAGGCTAGTTTCCCCTCATGCCTCTCAAAGGGTGGGGCCAGATCTGCTGCCTGGTGCCACACTGAGTCCCGTTTGTACCCTGTGGGATGAGCTGTCATCTTACAGAGGTTGGTCTGCATGGGCGGTCCAGACATATGCCAGCTCCTGCAGGCGCTGGCTTTAAAAGGCCAGGGTGTTTAGTTTATAAAAGCTCCGGACTTTGTGCCAGGGCCCATCCCCCACCTTTGCTGGCTGAGGTAGATCAGATTCCCAGTGTCCTTCACTGTAGCTCCTTCAGCACTCACTGAGCTAGAACATAGCCTGTGTAGAGCAGCAGTGAGCAGACAGCAAGCACTCATACAGTGTATGTAGAGCAGCTGTGAGCATACAGCAAATGCTCATACAGTGTAGAGCAAGCATACAGCAAGCACTCGGTAATTGCTCGCTCTTTGCAGGCTCTGTGCTGAGTTACTATGCACTTGCTGAGCAGCATCCCCAGGTGCTGAGCTGAGGTGATGCAGACAAGCTCCCTAGGTATCAAGAATTCCCAGGCCAGATGGGGTGACAGGCTCCCAGCAGGTTTCGGGTTGCACTAAACTCAAACATCAAGCAGCCTGCCTAAGCCTGGGAAGGGCCTGAGGTGAAAGTGGCCCAGTCAGAGGGACACGGGGAAGAGGCTGTGCTGTGGCAGGCAGAGAGGATGGGGAACCCTCCCCAGCCCCAGCAGGCAGAGCTCTGAGGTGAAGGGGCTGGGAGGAGCAGATGGGGAGCACTCTTAAGGGAAGGCAGGGCTATCGAGGGATGGAGGACTTGGGTGATGAGGGCTCAGCTAGGTCAGGTGGGGAGGAGGGCAGTTTGGTTTATCTACATTAGTGCCTCCCTGGGTACAGCCTGTCCCTGTGGCCCTGAGGAGGAGCGCACCGCACCGTCCCTCAGCAGATGAGCCAGGTAAGGGAGGGATGCAGGCGCTTTGGGGGAGTAAAGAGCAAAGAAACTGGGTGACCTCAGGGGAGGGTCCCTGGCCACCCCCCAGGAAGGTATCATGGGTCTGGAGCTCAGGCTCCTGCGCTGATGGGAATGGTTGGGGCACTGTCCCTACAGTGACCTCTGGGACATAGCAGCTGGGCAAGGTTGCAAGCTTGGTCTATCAAACCCAAGCAGACTCCACTGTCACCAGGCCCTTTCCCCATCCTCAGGGAGTTCAAGTCACGGGCGGCCTCCAGCAGAGTGCCCCAAAGCAGCCTGACTCAGCCCCAAATCCTAGTGAGCCAACAGCTGGCCCTCGGTGTACGGCAGTTTGCTGTCGCCCCTCCACACGCCAGTGGGGCTTGCCGCAAGCGGTCCCTCCTGCTGTCCCCAAGACCCCACACAGACAGCGCTCGCGTCACACAAACGTCACGCACGTCCAGGACACGTGGTCCACATTTTCATGTTAAGCACACTCAAGGCTGAGTTGAAGACCCTCTGAGGTTTGGTAAAATCGGGGTCCCCCTCTGGCATCAGGAAGTAGCTCTCAGCCCGCTCAGCTCCCTGTCCCTTGCTGGGCGTGTACCGCACCCTACGTGCCCTGGTACAGGTGGAGGGCCTCACCTGGTCTCGGCCCCTCCGCCTTCCCACAAGCTACATCCCTACACGCTGAAGTGTCAGGGTCACCAGGGGAGTGTACCACTGCTGAATGGGCCCTGTGTCAGCGTCCGGCCCCCTAGCACCCGCAGGGTGTGAGTCGCTAGGCCCCCGAGAGCACACAGAGCCCATGCATAGTGCACCCACTCAACAAAAATGGGAGGCCCAAAGCAGTGGCCACGGCCCTTCAGCCCTCTTGGCACCTCTGAGGGCCCCACTACTCCTGAGGAGACAAAAACACAAGTCTACCCACTCCAGACAGGGAACCGATGACAGACCGAAGCAAAGACACCACTCAAGTCCGACTTGGTGAGCTAATGAATTGTATTGGGCTTATTTTCAGGGGCACAGGTGAGGGTCGCTCACAGGGGCAGGAATGCCTCAATGACAGCTGCGTCACCAAAGCCAGCCCAGCACAGGCACAGACAGCTCACAAAAATCTGGGGCTCTGGAGCTCACTGCGCAGCCTGCAGCCAGCCCAGTAGGCCGGAGAGTCCCTTCCCGGCATCTTGGTGGTTTTGAGGGTGTCTCAGCAGTCCTCAGTGTCTTTATGAGCTGGGGAGGAGGGGGCCTAGTGTTGTGTGGTCAGCTTCCGGCACTTGCTGACCTTCTGAGTTGTTTACTTCCTCCGTGGTAAGGGGCTTCCCCGAAGGATGGCTGGCGCGTTTCACCCCAGAGGAGACACACCAAGCGCGGGGGCCACCCACGGCGGTCTCACCTTGTCTGGTGTGAAGGGACTGAGTGGTCTCACCATGATGTAGTCTCTTCCAGAAGTTTCTGGAGCTGACCCTAACCACTGCCCACCTATTCCTCAATTTTCTCTTCTACCCGCTGAGGATGGTCCTTGTGGACTGTGGGGACATTAAAAAGAATTTCTCTGCGTGCACCCTGGCTATTATTTCCTATCCATGATAACTACTGAGTGTGCAGCAGCACACTGCCCTAGTGTCACCCAGGGTCAAAGGCCAGTGTCATGGCTTCTGAGGTGGGCTCAGGAGAGGGTGTGTGGTCCCTCCCTCCCTCTGGGCCAATGTGTCTGCGTTCCTGGGAGGGACCTGGTGGCATAACTTCCTGGGGTTTGTACAGGACCCTGCTGGGTGGAGACACAGCTCCCTCTGTTCAGCTGAGCTTAGCATGGGAGGTCAACGGCCCCGTGACAACTGTCTCAAAGCTCTCAGGACCTTTCCTCAAGTCCCAGTGCACAAGCGCTGGCCTGTGTAGACAGGGCCCACACATCCACCCGCCCCCCCCAACTGTGGGGATCTCATCCCATGGGGAAGACTGGAGAAGTCCACTCCATCAAGAGGACACTGTCCATTCCAGGTGACCCTGGTGGCAGACACCTCTGTGTGAGCTCAAGGCTGGCACAATGGAAGCCCTCGGCACCGTAGTCCTTGACAGTTCCAATTTTACCAGAAAAGCCAGCCCTTCCCTCCTAAGCACCAATGCCCACCCGGCCCAGGCTCTTGTCAGGGTAAAGACACACAGTGGGGACTAGATGGGCCTGCCCTGGACACCTTGAGGGGTCACAGGTAAAAGTGTCATCTGGAGTGCACAGTGTGCAAGACTGCATGCACAGTGTGGGTTCTGAGGGCTGCGGAGGGGGCAGGGTTCACTAGTCTGCAGAGACTGCTTGGAGAGCTTCCTGGAAGAAGAGACCCTGGGGCCCAGAGCACAATGGGATGCACAGGCTTTCCCGGCCTGAGGCTGGAGGTCTAGTGAGGCCCAGGTGCCCCTATCTGCACCCGTATCTCCGGAAACCCCTTCCCTCTCCCTCCCTGCCTCTCCCTGCTGGTCCCTGCCCTAACAGTACTGCGGCTCTAGCGGCTCTAGCGGCTCTCAGCTCTGCTCCACTCCAGGAAGGCCACCTCCTCCTCCTCCCCCCTCCTCCTGCTGTCACCACTCACCGCCCTCGCCTCCAGGGGGTGGGGACCCCAGAGCTGGACACACCCCACCTTGGCCCCACAGCTAAGCCAGCCGGACAGACTCACGGTCGGACGCAGGACCCCAGAGCCCCGGGGTGGGCAGTGTGCCAGGGTCCCTCGCAGCTCCTTCAAGGTCAGTGCAAGCTGGGTGTGCAGTCCTTCTGGGGCCCCTGGAGCCCGTGGGTCCCACCCCAGAGCCCTTACCCTAGACCCAGAGCCCCAAGGTGGGCTTCGCTCCAGGTGCGCTTGAGCCAAGTGGCGCCAGGCAAAGGCACCGTGGGTCCACAGGCAGCACAGGTCCAGGGGTCCATCAGGAGGGTCCCCAGGTTGGGAGCCAGCTGCCTGCTGAGCCCTGGCCGGGGACACTCCCCACCGGCCATGGGGAGCTAAAATTGGAAA